TGTAGCATCAAGGTAGATGGCGAGTTCTGGGAGCTGCCACAGTAAAGCGATGGGGCCACATCATCCACATCTATCATTAATGATGTTCGTGTGCGATAGTTACTGAAGCGTGCGGCACGGATCTTCGCGGTTTTCCTTGAGGAGGTGGAAGTTGAGGAGGGGAAAGGAGGGAGCACAGCAGTTAGTGAGAGGGCGACTCTTCTTACTGAAGTGAGTGCAGGGTTAGCATAGTTCGCTGACGTCTTCCCCGACGAGTTGCCCCCAGGGTTACCTCCCAGCCGAGCAGTAGACCATCGAATAGAGTTGGAGCCGGGGAGCAGGCCAGTAGCGAAGCCGTAATGGAGGTTGAGTCTAGCAGAGACAGAGGAGATGACGCAACAGGTTAGGCATTTCCTAGCACAAGGGTTCATACCGCCATCTAGATCGCCTTTGGCAGCACCGATCCTCTTCGCGCCTAAGAAAGACGGGGGGTTACGGATGTGCAAAGATTACCGCGCACTTAACACTACCACCGTCAAAAATAGGTTCCCGGTGCTGAGAGTAGAGGTTCTTCTAGATGCAGTGCAGGGCGCTAGAATCTTCTCAAAGATCGAGCTTTGTTCGGGTTACCACCAGATTCATGTACTTCCAGAGGACCAGCACAAGACGGCGTTTCATACGAAGCAGGGGTTGTAGGAGTTTAGGGTTCTACCATTCGGCTTGAACAACGCCTCAGCGACATTCCAGATGCTCATGAACACCGTCCTCTCCAAGATCCTAGGTTCGTTCGTTGTAGTTAACCTAGACGACATCCATATATTCTCAAAGACAAAAGAGGAGCATGTGCAGCACTTGCAGAAGGTCTTCGAAGTCTTACAGAAGGGGCAGCTGTACGCTAAACAGTCGAAATGCGAGTTCTTCCTCTCCAAGGTCGAGTTTCTAGGCCACGTCGTTTCTGCTAGTGGCATTAGGACCGACCCGAAGAAGATCGCAGCAGTACAGGATTGGGTAGCTCCGACCTCAGTCAAGGAACTGCAGAGCTTCCTCGGATTCGCCAATTAGTAACGTCGTTTCGTTCAGGGTTACTCATCAATAGCTAGTCCACTCAGCGACCTATTTTGGAAGGGCGTAAAGTACGTTTGGGGTCCAGCGCAGTAGCAGGCATTCTAGCAGATGAAGCAGTCACTCACGTCTCGCCGACACTGTCGTACCCTGATCCTACTCGCCCATACATTATAGTGATAGACACTTCGGATCAGGCCATATGAGTAGTGCTTCTTCAGGGCCTGGGACGCGGATTGCAGCCGATCGCGTACGAGTCGTGTAAGCTGAGGGGAGCAGAGTTGAACTATCCGATTCACGACAAGGAGGCGCTCACGATTATCCATGCGTATAAGGTGTGGAGGTGCCACCTAGAGGGGGCACATAGCGTTTTACGCACGGACCATTGTTCGCTTCGCTTTCTCAAGTCGCAGTCGTAGCTAAGTCGTCGCCAGGCTAGATAGATGGAGTTCATGGAGGGGAGTTTTAACTATAGGATAGAGTACGAACCAGGCGTGCGCAACCCAACAGATCCGCTCACTTGACCTATTGCCAGCTCGCTAGCCTCACAGTCACTGCCAGCCATCCATTTCTCACAGCACTCTTCGAGCACGGTTACACAAGAGATCCCGACTTCACACTGCAGTCACCCGCAAGAGCAGAGGTATATACGGAAGGGTACCACACGGATTTGGGTTCCTGCCTACCGCCCTCTTCGAGAGCTCCTTCTTTCCGAGGCACACAACGTAGTTATTGCAGGTCACTTCGGAGCAGATAAGACGGCTAAGTCGCTTAGTCGCACGTACTTTTGGCCAGGGCTTGCAGCAGACGTAGAAGATTACATTCGCTCGTGCGACACGTGTCAGCGTACGAAGTCCTCTCACCAGCGCGAAGCAGGACTTTTGCAGCCAATTTCACCACCCGACCGCCCTTGGCAGGTAGTTACCATGCATTTCATCATAACTTTACCACGCACAGTTAGGGGTCACGACGCCATCTTCGTGGTAGTGGATAAGTATTCTCGAGCAGCGCACTTCATCCCCACGCATGGCAAGGTCACAGCAGAGGAAGCCGCGAATTTGTTTGTAAATAACGTAGTCCGACTGCACGGGGTTCCAGATTCCATCATCTCAGACTGCGACCCGCGTTTCACTTCGAAGTTCTGGAAGCAGCTTTTCACACTGTTTGGGACTCGATTAGCCATGTCATCTGCATACCATCCAGAGACAGACGGTCAGAATGAGCGCGTTAACTAGACTTCGGAGCAGATTCTTTGCAGCATCACGATGCACGATGCAGCAGCATGGGACAAGAAGCTGAGCATGGCAGAGTTCGCCTACAACAACACGCATCACTCGTCTACAGGCATTTCACCGTTCTTCGTACTGTACGGTCAGCACCCCAATGTCCCCACTCATGTCGATCTCACACCCTCTGTCCCTCATGCGGACAACTTCCACCAGCATCTCACCTTCATTCATGACCACGTGAGGAAGCACCTTGAGCTCGCAAATGCACGCATGGCACGCACCACCAACCGAAGTCGTCGTGAGGTGTCGTTTGCAGTCGGCGACCGTGTCCTTTTGGATAGCCACTACCTCCGACTGCCACAGGACAGCAAGCTTCGTCCATGTTTGATTGGTCCATTCGTCATTGAGCGCGCACTAGGTCCAGTCGCAAACCGCCTTCATCTTCCCGCTCATTTCCGCATGCACCCATCATTCCACGCGTCTCTCCTTCGTTTATACACCGACCCCAACGCCATCTTCTCGGGCCGCGATCGCATTCCACTACCGGTAGCTGTTGGCATCGACGAGCCCAACTACCAAATCCAGCGCATCCTCAGTCACCGTCGCCGTCTCCAGGGGGGTGTCTCTTTCATCGACTTATTGGTGTGTTGGCGTGGTTACGATGCAGCCGACGACAGCTGGGTTCCTTCGTCCTCGCTGTCTCCCGACAACGCTTGCCTTCATGCGTACCTTCAGTCTGCAGGCGCCGCTGACGTCGCCTCCTTGGGAGGGGTTAGTGTTACAGGGTAGTTTACTATTCACTGGTGGTTTACCCTAAACAGTGCCCCCAACCCCATCCCAACCTTAACTTCATCCAACTCATCCAAGATTTCCTAGATTTCCTAAATTTCCTTGTGCCACGTGGCACTCTACTTTTCTTGCCTTCTACTTTCTAGTCCCACGAACTACTTTCCGACATTCGCTCTTGTATGCTATATCAACCTTGTGATTGCCATTATCAACCAATTATCATTCAACCATTACTCAATTACTTCTTCGCATATTTCGCTAATGCTTCTTTCACCAAAGTCATCCGCCGCGTTTCATCCTCGACTTAGTCGACCCCGCTAATCTTTAGCGGATTTAGGAAAAGGGGCCTAACAGTTTTGACTACGGTATTGATTCTGTACTGGTAGTGTGATTGACAAGACGCGACTGTAACTCCAGTCATGGCAAACTGCGCAAACCATGTATAGTCAAATTCAGCGCAGGTCCCCGCTAAAACGCTGATGGTAGGAAAAAAGGCTGAAAAATCAGCGTAAGCTTTAGAACGATTGCAGAAGTTTCGGAGGTTACTATGTACATAAAAAATATAAAACAGAGCTGAATTTTAGCATCCGATCGAAAAAATAATGAAATGTCAGTTTTTTTTTTGGCAAATCAGCGATTTTTTGCTGACTTTTGAGGGCCTGATCCGATCGAACACTAGGAGTATGTAACGGCCAAGAAAGATCAAGGGCTGGTGTAGTATAAGATGTTCAAAATGTCTCTTTCAGGAAAACGTTGTTGATTTCAACGGACTCTCTTGTATAGAACCCCTATCATCCTGAGTTCGTGTCCAGCGCGTACATTTACAGCTCACTTGCCGCTACAGTTACCACATTTCTCGAATGTAACCTCCATTTTACATATTTTCTGGACCCGCACACCCCAAGATGTAAAATACGGACACAGCCCACACGTCTGCCGAATCGTGAAAATGACGCACAACGCACGTAACAGCTGCCTCATTCCGACGTGTACACGTCTGAAATGCTACAGTTCCGGACTTAGCGAAGTTTACCTTGTATTTCGCGAGAGATTTTTCGCCTAAAAATCAATGTGCACTTTCGATTTCCGGGTCACGCGACGTTGTCGTTTGCGAGAATCGAGCTGACGATATTCTGGTTACATAACTGTGCTGTCGCCACTCTCGTACATCTGCTGTTAGGCTTGTGCTGAGTGGCGGGTTGTGTCCCCCCGCTCATTTCTGGACACCAAAATTTGAGGGAAGACCTGGCAGTACCATTTCGATACATGATACCATATACGTATGTTGTTTGTAAAAACTCCAAAGTGTACGCGCTGGACACGCCCTCACCTCACCAAACCAGGCCGACATGGGCAACATCAGCTGAGACCGCAGCTGCTCCGAACCACCCTAGACTTCGCTGCTTTCACCAGGCAGGGTTAGCTTCGGAAGATCCTAGGCGAACCTGTTTCAAAGACCAGACCTCGCCCTTTCATCAATACATGATACCACACGCTTGAAACGCAAGTGGTTTGACTCCATAATTGTGACTGGCAGCATTTGATTGCAACTCACAGCACGAAACCACACGTCAACGCATAAAACCGCATACGATCGCACAAACAAAGCTGAGTATCGAGCATCAGACCCACACCCTTCACAGTCAGTGACCGCAGCGCAGACGGCAGATTGCTAGCGGGCGCGTCGCAGACTCACAACATTGCATCATCGTGCAATGACGCACCTTGGGCTGCTGTGCCGCGATATGGACAAGCCACCTCCTGCCAGGCACGAGCTAGAAGGTTTCTTTTTCGAATTATGTTTCCATGCAGTCCGAAACGTAGATCGCCGCCCGTTACTATTGGTACTACATTCGCAGCGCGAGCTCTGGTTCATCTTCGATATAGTCACACGCAGTGGTAGTAAAGAGAGCGCGGGGTGTTACAGTACCTCGCCTTAGCATGAAATTCAGCAATTACCATGGCAGCAGCCTAGGCTGGCGAGAACCGTCGCCAGAGCACACGCGCGGGCGCCGCCGCGCAGCCCCCGGTCCACGTAGCCGCAGCGCGGCTCTGCGACCGGCAGCGCGGCGCGTTGAGCGAATTTCACGGGACGGACGGCAACACCTCCCCCTTATCGTCCGCAGCACACCCTTGTGTGCTCCCCGCGCGCCTCGCGTTCCCTGCGCCGCCGCCCCTCGACCGCCTCGCGCGCCTTGCGCTCGTCGTGCTGCTTGCGCTGCTGCTGTGCCCGCCGTGCCGGGGTTCCCCGACGCCGCCAGCAGCCCCCCCCGCGGCGGCGGCGCCGCTAGCCCCACCCGTGGCGGCGCCGCCAACAGTTTCCCCCGCGGCGCCCACCCCGCAAAAAACCGCCGCCACTCAAGGTGTGATGAGAGGAGGTGGGTGGGGGAGAGACAAGAGGAGAGCGGAGGTTGTGAGAGAAATGCTGCTGTAGAGGTCCTGCGGCCCGGGGGAACGTTGGTGCTGCGCCTGGCAGTTACCAGTCGGCGGTTAGGCGGCCGAGTATGGCAGATGGGCGGCAGCGGCCGTCAGTGGCAGAGCGGGATATGGGTGGGAAATGGGAGGGGAATGGGGGGGGAGGAGAGGAGAGTGGGGGGGAGTGGGAGGAGAATTAGGGGAATGGAGGGGAATGGGGAAGAATGGGGGGGAATGGAGGGGAATGGGTGGAATGGGAGGAGAATGGGGGGGAATAGGAGGGGAATGGGGGGGAATGAGAGGTTAATGCGCAGGAATGGGGGAAAGGGGGGGGGGGTGATGGGAGGTAATGGGAGAAAGGGATGGGTCTAAGTCGGCACGACCACAACAATGGGAGGGAAAGGAAAGGAATGTGCCGGAAAGGGGTAGGATGGGAGGAAATGAGAGTGGCTAGAAGGAAATGCGGTGTTGAGCTGTGCGGCGCCGGACATCCTCCTGATCCCTATCGGACATCCTCCTGCCCCCTATCGGACATCCTCATGCCCCCTGCCGGACATCCTCCTGCCCCCTGTCGGACATCCTCCTGCCCCCTGTCGGACATCCTCCTGCCCCCTGTCAGACATCTCTCATACCTGCCTTCTCCCGCCTTGTCCTGCAACCCCATAGACACTGATCTCTCCATCCCTCCTACGCCCTCACCCGTCCCCCCTCCCTCCTACGCCCTCACCCGTCCCCCCTCCCTCCTACGCCCTCACCCGTCCCCCCTCCCTCCTACGCCCTCGCCCGTCCCCCTTCCCTCCTACGCCCTCACCCGTCCCCTCTCCCTCCTACGCCCTCGCCTGTCCCCCCTCCACCCGCCCCACCCAGTGGTGGCGCGTCTGGTGCAGCACAGGCAGCTGGCGAGGCATGGGCACTGTCAGTCATAATTCCCTTCGAGTTTTGAGACGTCTCAAACTCATGGGCACTGTCAGTCATAACCCCCTTCCGCCCTCGCCCGTCCCCCTTCGCTGCACGCAGTGCTGGCGCGTTTGGTGCAGCACTGGAAGCCTGAGAAGCCATTCAGGCCGTGGAGGGAAACGAGCGATGTGTGCTCGCTCAAGGGAAAGCACCTGCGCATCAACTGCTCCGCTGATGGCGACGTTGTTTCTCTGTGCGTGCCTGCTGTGCCCTCACTTGCCACGCCTCACCACGCAAATGGCATGCGATGGCACACGATGCATTCCCATCCCATGCAATGCCATGGCATACCACATCATACGTGGTATAGAGTCAATGCGTGCTGTTGCGCCATGCCATGCCATGCAATGCGAAGCCATTCCATGCAATGCAATGCCAAGCCATTCCATGCCATGCAATGCCAAGCCATGCCATGCCATGCAATGCCGCCAAGCCATGCCATGCCATGCAATGCCATGCGATGCCATGCCGTGCCATGCCTTGCCATGCCCTGTCATGCGGTACCATGTCATGCCATGCCATGTGATGCACTTCAGTGTTGGTCACCCCATCTGGTTGGCTCTCCCCTGCCCACTCCCTCCGCTGTGAACTTGCAAAACCCCAGTAGTGTCACACTTGCAACACTGCAGTAGTGTCACACTTGCAACACGTCAGTAGTGTCACACTTGCAACACTGCAGAAGTGTCACACTTGCAACACTGCAGTAGTGTCACACTTGCAACACTGCAGTAGTGTCACACTTGCAACACTGCAGTAGTGTCACACTTGCAACACTGCAGTAGTGTCACACTTGCAACACTGCAGTAGCGTCACACTTGCAACACTGCAGTAGTGTCACACTTGCAAACATCTGGCCGCACATGTCCTATGCACTCATGCCCATGCACTCATACACATGCACACAACACAGTCTCTCTGAAACACATTCAGAGTGATAGAGTCACACGTGATTGTACCCACTTGTGCCACTCCTGCCACTCCTGCCACTTGTGCCGCTCGTGCTGCTTGTGCTGGCAGTGCCTTGTCAAAGCTCAGGATTGTGGGCCAGCTTTCAGAAGACATCGGCAATCTCACCGCCCTCACCTCTCTGTACGCCCCCTCTCGCCCCTTGTCACTCCCACTTGCCCCGCGTCACTCCCACATGCCCCTCGTCTCCCACTTGCCCAGCTTGCACCATACCCCCCTCACTTTCTTGCCTTCATGCCCATCTCCTTCTGCCCTCGCTTCATTTTCCCACCCTACTCTCCACACCCCCCTCATCCCCACACCCCCTTCATACTCTGAGCACTCCCTCCCTCCTCTCACCCACACTGTCTCCAGCACTCGCGTCACACTGGTACTGTGTTCCCCTCAACGCACCCGGAGCACCTTTCCTTCTCCATTACTTTACCTCCCCTTGTTTGAACCACTTTGACACACCTAGCATTCTCCTCTCTGCCCCCTCCCCACCCTCCTCCGCCCATCCCCGCCATCCTCTGCCCGCCTCACTAACCTTCACTGCGCCCCCCCGTGGCAGCAAGCTGAGCACCAATCGCTTCCGCGGCCCTCTGCCTGACTCCCTCAGTCGCCTCTCCAAACTTGAAAGCCTGTGAGTCCTGCTTGTCCTTCCTGCGAGGGCTGTTCTTGATTTGGCCCACCTGCAATCATGGCTGCTCGTGACTTACCCACATCGAATGCTGTGACCCGGATGACATACGCTGCGCTGCGCTGTGCTGCGCTGTGCTGCGCTGCGCTGTGCTGCGCTGCGCTGTGCTGCGCTGTGCTGTGCTGCGCTGTGCTGCCCTGTGCTGCGCTGTGCTGCCCTGTGCTGTGCTGTGCTGCGCTGTGCTGCCCTGCCCTGCCCTGCCCTGCGCTACGCTGCGCTGCGCCGGGCAGGGCAGGGCTGGGCTGCGCTGCGCTGGGCAGGGCTGTGACGAAGAACCCACTCTCAAAATATGTGACGGGTAAGTAGGCACGGGCAACCAGGCGAGTGGTTCTTGCGCATGCCTAGTGAAGGGGGTCCACGGTGGAAGTGCAGGTGGAAATGCAGGTGTAAATGCAGGTGGAAATGCAGGTAGAAATGCAGGTGGAAGGGCAGGTGGAAGGGCAGGTGGAAGGGCAGGTGGAAGGGCAGGTGGAAGGGCAGGTGGAAGGGCAGGTGGAAGTGCAGGTGGAAGGGCAGGTGGAAGGGCAGGTGGAAGGGCATGTGGAAGGGCAGGTGGAAGGGCAGGTGGAAGGGCAGGTGGAAGGGCAGGTGCAATGCAAGGGAGGAACCTCTTATGCTGCCAAGTCCTGGAGGGATGGAAGCTCTTGCACACTTAGGTTAGGCCGAGAGGTGCTTGTTGAGTGGCCTAAAAAATTGTCTTATGCACATTCATGCTGAAACTTTCTTCGTATCCTTCATGTGTGTGTGTGATTGTATGTGTGTGTGGGCGTGCGCGCGCGTGTGCGCGGAGGTGCGGAGGTGTTGGGTGCGTGGCTGTGCGTGGGGGCGTGCATGCATGTGTGTTGTGATGTGAGCCGATTGGAGCGCAATCGGCTCTCTGGATCTTTCCCGCCTGGTCTCTCAGCGCTCACTGCACTCACCCTCTTGTAACTCACTATGCCCTCTCAACCTCGCTCACGCCGCTCAATTTGTCACTTTTGATTGGACTCAAAAGCATTCCCTGTCAACCTCGCTTGCGCCACTCATTCCTTCTCAATCCCGTGTCACTCAGTCCATCATATGAACCCTCTTTCTGTCCCTTTTTTCACTTCACTCGGGTACTAGGCTAGCTACCCATGCTATGACCCCTCTTCACTCTTTTAATCACTGCCAGTTTTAACACATACAGAAGTCAAGTTCCCATGTGTGTGTATTGATGATGAGCCTTGGCTTGCCTGTGCAGTAGCTCAACCCAAGGCTTTCACAAGGCTGCACACGCCTCTGATCCCGCCTGTTATGCCTGGTTGAAACGAGCATAGCAATAAATGATGATCCTGACTGTCCTCAGTCCTAACATTGTATCCAACGTTTCTGCTTTGACTCTTGCTTCTGATTCAAGTCTTGCTCAGAACAGAGCATTGTTTTCTATCAAAGTTATGTTACTGCCTTATTCCTCCTGAGTATAGAATTGCTCCTACTTGTTCCTCCCTACCCCTGCCAGTTGCCTTCCATCTTCACTGCACCACCTCAGCTCATTAAAACGAAAATGCATGCTCGTTCCCCCACTCTCCTCCTGTTCCCTCCTCCCTCCTCTTGGCCATATGCACACCTTTCAACCATATCCCCCATGGATGGCAGATTCGCCAACAACAACTCCTTCTCGGGCGCTCTGCCGGCCTTCTTTGGCAGCATGGCCAACCTGAGCGAGCTGTGAGTGTGTTGCCTGCCACTGAGCGACCTGTAAGTGCAGCAGCTGTGAGTGCAGCAGCTGTGAGTGCAGCAGCTGTGAGGGCACCGGCTGTAAGTGCACCACCTGTAAGGACTGAAAGAATCTCAAGTGTTGTCTTGATTAGAAAGAGTGTGGGTACATATAGGAGTTGAGGAACTAAGTGGGGTACCCTCAGCATTTATTGGTGGACCAATCAGATTGGGTCGACCAACAATTGCTGGGGTAACCAACAATTGTTGGAGGGGACCATTATTGCCCCCCCCCCGTCAATTGCGGTCGAGTTGGGTTTGGGGGCGCCCAACCAAAATTGGTTGGGTCGCCTTGACCCAAAGTGTACACCCACTTTAGGGTGTAACACATGCACAAATATAATCATACATTATGCTATATTCTAACACAACCCCATAGCATAAGAGGTTTATAATTGTGCACAACCCCGGAATCATGAAGCCGGGGAGAGGCCAAGAAGGCAAAGGAAGGCTCGGTGGGCTAGCTTCGGAAGAGCTTTGGTGAAGATGTCGGCGAGGTTGGCTTCGGCGGCAATTTTGCGGACGGCAAGATGGCCTTGCTGGACAAGATCGCGGATGTAGAAGTAGCGTAGTTCGATGTGTTTAGAGCGCCCGTGGAAGACCGGATTCTTGGTGAGGTGGATCGTGCTGGCGTTGTCGCACCAGAGCGTGGGGCATGGCTGAGGGGCCCCAAGCTCGGCTAGCAAGAAGGAATGCCAGCGTCCTTCCTGCGCAGCCATGGTACCAGCATAGAGTTTGGCTTCACAACATGAGAGGGCGATGGCGGAGGAGCGGGTGGAGCGCCAGCTGACCAAGCCGCTACCGAGCGTGAAGCCGTATCCTTGGGAAGAGCGGCGATCCGGCTGAGAGTCTGCCCAAGACGAGTCAGTGAAGCCGGTGAGGAGCGGGGGAGAGGCACCACCAAGGGTGAGAACATGGTCATGAGTGCCACGGAGGTAGCGTAGGACTCGTTTGGCGGCTCTCCAATGCGCGGAGGTGTGACGACCAGTACCGACGAAACGCGCCAGGACGCTGATGGGGTAGGCGAGGTCGGGACGGGTCCCCATCATGGCATACATGATGGAGCCAACCAGTTCCGCATAGGGCTGAGTGGAGGCGGAGGGGGAGGTGGGTGGAGCAAGCTGATGGCCGAATGGAAGGGGAGTGGCCACTGGGTTGGCGAGAGCCATGTCGAACCACTCCAACATCTGCTGAAGATAGTGAGATTGAGATAAGGTGATGGTGCGGGCGGCTCGATCGCGTGTGATCTCCATGCCCAAGTAGTGGCGTAATTCGCCAAGGTCCTTGCACTGCAGACGAGCTTGTAGTTCTTGCTTGACGTCGGTCATGTCGGCGGAGGTGTCGGCGAGGAGCACCATGTCATCAACATAGACTAGGACGAAGAAGCGGCTGGGACGGGTCCGAATGAAGAGACTGGCGCCAGAGTGAGATGGTTGAAATCCGAGAGCACAGAGTGTGGATGCCAGCTTAGCATGCCATTCCCGAGGAGCCTGCGTAGACTGGACGGCGTAGTTCCCAGACAGTGTCTGGTGGGAAGGCTTCATGGAAGCCATCTGGGCGGTCGAGGAAGATTTGTTCGTGGAGGTCCCCCTGAAGAAAAGCGTTAGAGACATCCATTGATGAGATCTCCATGCCGTTGTGGGAGCCAAAGTCGAGAAGCGTGCAAAGGGTCCCGAATTTTGCGGTAGGTGAGAAGGTTTCCCAAAAGTCTTTGGCATAGGTCTGTGTGAAGCCCTTGGCGTAGTAAAGGCCTTTGTAGACGGGCTCCTCCCCCGGAAGCTGCTTCACTCGGAAGACCCACTTGCCAGCGACAATGTTGGCATCTGGAGGCGGCTTGACATCGACGAAGGAATCATTGCGAATGAAGGCGTCGCACTCCTTGCGAATGGCCTCCAGCCATTTGTCAGCGTCAGGGCACGTGATTGCCTCCTGGAATGTGGTAGGCGTGAAGATGAGAGGTGAGGAGGGAGTGCCAAGTACAGCCGCGCCCAAAAGGGCAAGGTACACAGGGTTAAGGGAAGGAACGTGAGTGTGAATGGCACAAAACTCCTCATGGGAGTCTTCATGAATGAGAGGTGGTTGACCAAGAATGGGGTCAAGGGAGCGAGTGTGCATGCGTGGGAGGAAGAAGGGAGAGCGTGAGGTGAGAGAAGTGCGAGGACGTGGGGAGGGTGCAGGAGGTGCGGCGGGCGAGGATGGAGGAGGAGAAGCTGGAGGGAGGTGGGTGGGAGGGGAGGGAGGAGGGGGAGAGGGAGGAGGGGGAGCGGTGGAAAGGGCAGGTGAGGCAGCAGGATCATAGATATCAGCCGAGGAAGGTGGAGGCGAGAGTGGAGTAGTTGGGAGGAGTGGAGCAATTGGGAGGAGAGGAGGAAGAAGGGCATCCGCCCAGGTGAGTGGGCGGGAGGGTGGGGGGAGAGGGTCGGAGGGAGGAGGAGAGGAGTAGTAGGGGATGGTTTCGTCGAAGACGACGTCGCGGCTGCGAATGAGGTGGCCGGAGGGAGGATGAAGGAAGAGGTTGTTAGAACTTGAGCTTAGAATCCATGAATTAGTAATGAGCTCAAGGCTCTTTAAGTACATTGGAAATGGGCAAGGTAAGGGTGGGGAGAGAATCGGGGACAATCCTAGGGAATTGGAGGTAATCCCAAGGCAATCTCCAATTGGTGGGTTGGAGATTGCTTGGAGATCACATTTGGGTTTGGTTGGGATGTGGGTGTACATCCAACCAAACACAAAGTGCAAACTACACTAAACTAGGATATATAAAGTACAAGTACAAAAGTGAGATTCAGGGCTAACATTAACACCCCCCCATAGGCGTCAATCGAACTCATGGCAGAGAAGGCGGAGCGCAGAGCCCCATGGTGCCGAGGAGGCGATGGTGGGGAACCTTCCCAAGGGGCTTGGTGAAGAGATCAGCCAAGTTGCAGTCAGAAGCCACATACTCCACATTGAGCTGCTCCCGCTGGACAAGGTCACGGATGAAGAAGTGCCGAAGTTCGATGTGCTTGGTGCGAGTGTGGTACACGGGATCCTGGGACAGGTGGATGGTAGGAGAATGGCGGGGTGAGAGAGGGAGAGGTCGGGAGAGGTAGAGGGAGTGGGAGATGATGAAGGGGGAGGAGCAATGGTGGGAGAAGGGTGGGTGGATGGGTGGTGAGATGACATGATGCCAGAAAAGGGAGACGTAGTGTGTAAAGGTGAGTGCGGGGGCAGATTGGGAGGCGATAGACAAGGCGGCCAGTGGAGGTATGAATGAGATCGCAATAGGAAAAGTGGGCAGGAAAAATGGCGGTAATGCCGGCTTTTTGGAGATCATGAAGATAAATAAGATTGTGACGAAGAGTGGGAATGTGGAGGCCAGTGATAGTGCCGGAGGGAAAGAGGGGACACGGAAGAGTAGAGGAGTGTGTGCATGGGATCGAGAAGCTAGAATCAGCGCCATGAACAGTGGAGGGGAGAGATAGTGTTTTGAGAATGCCAGCGTCCTTCAGGGCACTGACGGTGGCCCCGCTATCGAGGACAAAGTCCAAGGTGAGCGGGGAAGGAGACGCAGAATACTGGAAGTCACTGTTATTAAGAACAGAGGGATACATGGAGGTGGTGCTAGGCAAGGGAGAAGCTAGCTGACCAAGAAAGCTAGAGTATGACTCAGCTGGGGAGGTATGGGCGGCGGTGGCGGCAGAACCGAAGCCAAGAGGTTGCTGCTGCCAGGCGGCAGTTGCTGCTTCTGCTGCTGCTGCCGCTGCCGCTGCTGTGGCGGCTGCGCCTCCCCCACCTCCCCAGGGTGGCTGCTGTGGCTGCTGCTGCGACTGCGGCTGTGGGGGCAGCTGCGGGGGCTGCTGAAGCTGCGGGGGCTGCTGCAACTGCTGTGACTGAAGATGCTGCAAAAACTGCTGGAGTTGCAGTTGAGGAGAGGGAGTGGTGAGGTTAAGGTGGGAGGGTTGATAGAGAGGGAGATGCTGAACATCATGGACAGTGGGACGACTTTCAAGAGTGGACCAGTGGGGGGGGGTACCATGGTTACCACGATCAAACCAGGCATCGTCCAAGACGCCGAAGCAGGTGGTTATGGGGTGGTTGGTTTGACCGCAGGGTTCCCCAGCGCGAGGGCCGTGACGGCGAACGTAGGGGCAGGGGGGGAGTTGACCAGGTCCGCTACCACCACGTCCACGTCCTCCTCCAGGGCCGCCCGTGCCAGAAGGAGTGCGTCCACCAAAGGTGCCACCACGTCCACCACCACGGCCGCCACCACGCCCACCTCCACGTCCGCCACCGCGACCACCACCACGCCCACCACCGCGTGTCTGGGTGGCGTTGAGTTCTGGCGCGGGTGCTTGAGCCATGTTGAGAGAAGGTGGGTTGGTACGAAGGAGGCGGGTTTCGGTGTCAATGATCCATTGAACGACAGCAGCAACATCCGCAAACGGCTGATTTTCGCGGAAGGCAAATGACGTGCATGTCGTAGGACGGGTTGAGACCGCGGAGAAGGCGATCTATCTGGATGAACTGGGGGAGTTCGGACTGGCGAGCCTTAAGTTGCTTGGTGAAAGAGGTCATGCGGCCGGTGTAGGCGACGGCACCAGTGCTGTAACAAGACGGAATTCACTATACTCCTGTGTGTTCTTGCTTTTGCTCTAAACTGCTGATAACCAATAGAGCAATTACAAGCAAGATTATGTCTGATTTCTATCATTCCTCCTTTCTGATTCTAGGAACTTCCTGTGGCTAGACCAATGCTCTGTGATATATAAAGAGCACTAGCACCTTCTTTCACTACCTTAGTGAATCCACAAGGTTGCTTGCTTGGCTAGGTAGCTTGTAACTCCCTTTCTGAATTTCTCCTTAGGCATGCTCGGCGGTATTGCTGGACGTGCTATAGGCACCAGCCTTGAGGCAGCTTGGTATGGGGTATGTGTTCAGTAAGAAGCGCCATAGCTGTGAAAGCATGGGCTTGGTTTAGACTGTTCACACGGAAGGACATTTGGGAGTCCCCCACCCAATGATTGGAAGCTGCAACATATGGCCGCAAGAGCTGCAGTATGGGCTGCAGCTGCATGCCGACCTCCTCCCTGAATTCTACCCGAGACCTTCTCTGAAGCTTGAAGAAAATAAGAGACCAAGATTGAAGGCTAAGAGTGAAGATGAAATTCATCTTGTAAATACTTTCTTGGTTTAGACCTTAGGAAAAAATTTGGCTTGTATATACTTCTCTGGTTTTAGACCTGTGATTGTTTAGTATGGGTAAGCATCGGAACGATGTTTCTTAGGGAGGGGAATTATGTAACAAGACAGGAATTCGCCATGCAGGATGCATGGAAATTTCCGAAGGGTTGATGCCTAGTTAGCTCCGAATATCAACACTTGCTAGCATAGACATCTTCCTCCTATCCCTGTCACACTCTAGTATCCAGCAGGGCATGGCATCGAGGCGCTATGCCAAGATGCCATGCTGAAAGCGCCGCGACACGGGCTTTCCTCCCGAGCCGCGCTCATTCTCCCTAGCATAAATATCTCTCTCTAGCTCTTCTTGTATCATCCTGGAATCTCTTGCTAATCTAATTTCAGATCCTTCTTCTCTTGATCTCTCTTCTACGTCTCCAGAGCTGGGTTTCTCTCACTAGCCTAGCTTCTCTCCCTTCCGCTGCGAGACTTCTCTCTTCTTTCCTTCTAGCTACGGCGCCTCTCCTTGGTCGCTAGGCCGGCCAGGCCAGCCGCGCCGTGCGTCGCTGCGCCGTAGCTCCTGTTTCATTGGTCTAGGCACAGGAAGTTTCTACAATCAGAAAGGAGGAATGATAGAAATCAGACACATAATAGTCTTCTTGTAATTGCTCTATTGACTTTCTCAGTTCAGAGAGCAGAAGCAAGAAAACATAGTAGTGCAATCTTCTCAGTTTTCAGCAAAGGAATAACGTTGTAGAGAGTAGACAGAAGATGCACGAACTCCAAGGATGTTGGAATCAGATTTGAGGACCAAGTAGAATGCTTCAGCAGAAAATTTTGAAGTCATGCAACTGAATTATCGAACGCTTTTTACCCAACTACACCTTGGGCTGAAAAGTTGCATGAAGGTCGAAGTGTAGCAGTAGGAAGATGCCTTGAGCAGCAGGGTCATCTCGAAATTCGAATTTCTGCTCCCAAAATCTCTGGTTGGCTGGAATTCGCCCAATCACAGGTTCACGAATCTCGCCAACACCAAAACGGATTTCGACTTCAGCCTTGGAGCAGAAAGTTCCTCGCCATCCTAGGTGCAGGAACGCCCTCGTAATTGCTCAAGGTAGGACATGTCGAAGTAGTAAAAGTCAAAGCCGAAGAGAAGCAGCTAGCTACTAAGGACGAGAGTATTTGACGAGGTGAAGATAGTAGCTAACTTAGTACGAAATGAGTACGAGGAAAGTAACCAGCTCTGATACCAGTGAAGCAGGGCTACGACGCAGCGACGCACGGCGCGGCTGGCCTGGCCGGCCTAGCGCCTAAGGAGAGGCGCCGTAGCGTAGAAAGAGAAGAGAGTCTTGCAGCGGAAGAAGAGAAGCTAGGCTAGTGAGAGAGGCCCAGCTCTGGAGACGTAGATAAGAGAAGATAGGAAGAGAGATTCCAAGAATACAGAATTAGAGACAATCCAAGGATGATACAAACAAGAACTAGAGAGATATTTATGCTAAGGAAAGAGAAGCGCGACTCGGATATGAATACCGTGTCGCTACTCTATCTAGCATAGCATCTCGACATCACGCCTCGATGCTATGCTCTGCTGTACAATCCGTCCTGACATGGATAAGGGAAAAGGCCCGAGGCGAGGCTAGCAAGTGTTGTTGTTCGTAGGTAGCTAGGCAAGGACCCATTCGGAAATTCCCATGCATCTCGCATGGTGAATTCCGTCTTGTTACAAGTGCAGGTTGCGAGCGTTGTCTCCCAGTATTCGTCAAGGAGCAGCCCCACGGAGTTGACGTCATGGCGCTCAAACATGGCGTGAAGGGAGGCCCAAAGGGCAGGTGCGTGAAGCTCTTGTTCCTGAAAGTCTCGCATGAGAGCGGGGGGGAGACCACCAAGGATAATATTAGAGGCAGAAAGGTCAGATTCCTTCCAAGCAGCAGCTTTAGCGGTATATTCAGCGAGCGCGATAGTGTAGCGGTCAGCCATGGTGCGGTGATCTATTATGGCAGCTTGGCGCATGTCGTATTGCTCGCGAGCCGCACGATGGTCCGCTCGGAGCGTGAGGAACCGACGCCGCTCGAGATCGTAGGCTGCTTCATCAGCGGCTTGGCGAACAGGATCCGTGGAGGCAGCGGGCAGATCTGGTTCGTCAGGTTCAGGTCCAGGGTCAGGCGGGAGAGTGGGGGCCGATCCAGGGGACATAGGGGGCGTTGGCGGGAGAGCGGCAGCATGGCGGAAGACAAGGTCGAGGAGGGAGGAGGAGGTGTTGGGGATGTGGATGACGCCGAGGAGGCAGCGCACGCTCCCTGTGTAGGAGTAGCAGTTGATAGCGCTCTGATCGGGAGCGAGCTCGAGCCGATCAATGGAGAGCATGTTGAAATTCTGAGGAAGAGAAGGCGCAGCCATAGCAGTAAGTTAGTGCGATGTGAGGGGAGAAAAAATGTTAGTAGCGAGCGAAAGCGAGGCAAGTTAGAAGCAGAGGGAGAGGAGGAGGGGGGTTAGTAGCAGCACGTGGGAGAGGATTGGGAGCAGTAGCGTGGCAGGAGAGGCGGAGAGCAGAGATAGTAGGAGAGAGGCAGCGGGAGAGGAAACGGTGGGCGGAAGCAATGGGGGGGGGGGGAAGGGTCGAGGGAGCGGCGGGGAGGAGGAGACGAGGCAGTAGCTAAGTGCTTGGCGGCGAGGGAGAGTAGGAGCAGCCGCGGCGAAGTGCCTTGCAGCGAGGAGAGGCAGTGGCGGCGGCAAATTGCCCGCAGCGAGTGAGTAGAGGCGGCGGAGGCGAAATGCCCCGCGGCGAGTGGAGTAGTGGCGGCGGAGGCGAAATGCCCCGTGGCGAGTGGAGTAGTGGCGGTGGAGGCGAAATGCCCCGTGGCGAGTGGGAGCTGGCGGCGGCGGCGAAATGCCCCACGGCTAGTGGGAGTAGTGGCGGCGGAGGCGAAATGCCCCGCGGCGAGTGGGAGCAGTGGCGGCGGCGGCGAAATGCCCCGCGGCGAGTTGGAGCAGTGGCGGCGGCGGCGAAATGCCCCGCGTCGAGAGGAGCAGCGGCGGCGGCGGCGAAATGCCCCGCGTCGAGAGGAGCAGCGGCAGTGACGGCGAAATGCCTTGCGCCAAGCGAGAAACAGCAATTACAGCGGCGAAATGCCCCGCAAGGAAGAAAAACGGTGCGAGAGCAGTGGCGACGGTGGATAGGTCGCGGCGATTGAGACGCCGGCAGCTGAGAACGTAAATGCGGCGGTAGGAGCCGAGGCGAGAAATTCGCCTTACGAGAGATAGAGTAGGAGCTGGAGGGAGGTGGTGACTGGTTGTACTTTACGGAAGATTGAACTTCAACCAAGTCAAACCCACGCAACAAGTTGCATGGGAAGGACGGAAGGGTCCTGACGAGCGGGGAGGGAAAAAAAAAACTTGAGAGAAAGAGGTCGAGAGGGGCGTTTGCCAATTGGCTCTGAATACCATGAAAGAATCTCAAGTGTTGTCTTGATTAGAAAGAGTGTGGGTACATATAGGAGTTGAGGAACTAAGTGGGGTACCCTCAGCATTTATTGGCGGACCAATCAGATTGGGTCGACCAAAAATTGCTGGGGTAACCAACAATTGTTGGAGGGGACCATTATTGCCCCCCCCCCGTCAATTGCGGTCGAGTTGGGTTTGGGGGCGCCCAACCAAAATTGGTTGGGTCGCCTTGACCCAAAGTGTACACCCACTTTAGGGTGTAACACATGCACAAATATAATCATACATTATGCTATATTCTAACAAGGACACCAAGGGCAGCAGCTGTGAGGGCAGGTCAAAGTTCTACAGACTACTGTGCCGCCATGATCCTTTCCCCAAATCTCACCTTGCTGAAGATTTCTTTACCTGTTGAGAAGGCCTGCTGCCCATCACGTACCTTGTTGGGCAGTCCATGTGCCATGCCATGTAATGCCATGCCATGTATGGCTATGCCTTCTAATCCCCCCCCCTAATGCCTGCCTCTACTTCACTTCATCCCAGCCCCACCCCATGCCCCCTCACGCAGCAAGCTGTTTGGGAACCCCATGGGAGGGTCGCTGCCAGAGTCCTTCTCGCAACTCAAGAACCTCACCCACCTGTACACATCCTCACCCTCCTGTACGCCTCCTCACCCACGTGTTCTCCTCCTCACCCACCTGTACGCCTCCGCCTCATGCATGCCACACGTGTGCTTGCCTCACCCACGTGTTCTCTCCTCCTCCCCCCTTCCCTCTCGCCCTCTCACCCTCTCATCCGTGCCCCTCCCCTCCGCTCTCTCACCCTCTTATTCTCCTCCCCCCCTATCAGCCATCTGGCAGACATGGGTCTGTCGGGTCCCATCCCTGACTCGTGGGGCAACATGAAAAGCCTGCAGTACTTGTGAGTGTGCAGTGCATGTGAGTCTGCAGTACTTGTGAGTCTGTAGTAGTGCAAGCAACCCAACTGCTTTACCTTGTTCCTCCCTGTTACATGCACCCTTCTCCCTGCTACACTCACCCTTGTTTTCATAACTCGTTTCTCTCCATTTCTCACTCAACTCCCCACCCGTCCAGTCTCTCACCCTTCTTCCCTGTCTCTATTTACCCCCGTTGCTGCTCACGCGCTGCCCTCCCCTTGCCAGCCACTTGAGTCGCAACAACATCTCAGGGAACCTCCCCAGCTCGCTGGGGCAGCTCACCGACCTTATTGAATTGTAACCATTTCATTCATCCCGACCTTATTGAATTGTAACCATTTCATTCATCCCGACCTTATTGAATTGTAACCATTTCATTCATCCCGGCCTTTTTCAATTGTAACCATTTCATTCATCCCGGCCTTTTTCAATTGTAACCATTTCATTCATCCCGATTCCCGACCTCTTTGGATTGTAACCGTTATACTCATCCCGACCTCATTGGATTGTAACCATTTTATTTATCCCGATTCCTGACCTCTTTGGATTGTAACTGTTTTACTCATCCTGACGTCATTGAATTGTAACCGTTTTATTCATCCCAACCTCATTGAATTGTAACCATTTCGGCTATCCAACCTCATTGAACTATTCATTCCATTTAGGTATGAGCAATGAAACGAACCAAACCAGTTAGTTCAGTTTTCGTTCATCTATCCAACCTTATTGAGTTGTTGTAACCATCCCACCTCATTAGCCCAGCGAACTGTAACCATCTCACCAACTGTAACCATCTCACCAACTGTAACCGTTGCACCAACTGTAACCATTGCACCAACTGTAGCCATCGCACCAACTGTAACCTTCGCACCTAACCATCACACCAACTGTAATCATCAAACCATGAGCTACGCCCTGCCTTTCCTCCTGCCTCTCCATCCCCCAATCTACCTCTCTCCCTGCCTCTACCCTCCTGCCTTCCCCACCTCTCGTTTCGCTCTTCCCTGGCTCGATCTGCCTACCCTCTTTGCCTTCCATGCCTTTCCCGCCTGCCTTCCTGCCTGCCTGCCACCCCCCTGCTCAACCCCCATGCAGCTCGGCCTATCAAAATCCGCTGCTGGAGGGCAAGCTGCCGCCCTGCTGAGCCACCATTCAGTCCCTCGGCATTCTGTACGCCCCCTTGATAGAATTCAAGAGTATGATTAGTAATGAGCCAACAAGGCTCTATAATACAAGTATGCAAGGAAGAGAAGGGTGGAGGAGGAGCTAACCCTATTGGCCACTAAGTTGGCCAATGGGTGAGGTGCCTTGTGGAGTAGGCAACCTCACAATGTGGCTAGGTTGGGATTGGTTGGTCTAAGGACAAAAAGTTGGCAAGTGCCAACCAAGGGCCAAGACCAAATCCAATCTTGACCAACCACAAAGTGCGGTTGGAGTGTACACTCAACCCCCCAAGAACCTAAAGGACTACACCTATTCTAGCCTATGAATGTTGTATATAGTGTACAAGTACAACACCCCTCGCCCCTCACCTTCAACCCTCCCCATCACACCTCCCCCTGAACCTCCCCCTGCTGGGCCACCATTCAGTCCCTCGGCATTCTCTGCGCCCCTTCCCCTCCTACACTCATGCGTCCCCTTTTCTTCACCTCGGCACTCTTTTCTCTCTACTCTCTCCCTTCTTTCGCTCCTGCACTTTTCCTTGTTGCCTTGGTGAGCCGCCGTTCAGCCCCTCGGTACTCTGTATGCCTTGCTCCCCCCCTGGCCCCTCCACCTGTCCCCCGCTGCCCTCTCGCTGCCCTTCCCCTGCCTCCCCCTCTCCCCCCCTCTCCCGCCCTCCCCTCAGCCCTCCCCTTTTCCCTCCGCCTGCCCTCCTCCCTGCCCTCCCCCCAGCCCTCACCTTTTCCCTCCGCCTGCCCCCCTCCCTGCCTTCCTCTCAGCCTCACCTTCATCTCCTCATCCTTCCCTCCCCCCCACGCCCCTACCCCTCTCTCCCCACCATGCCCCCATCCCTTTCTCTTCTTCACACCCCCATCCCTCCCTCCCTGTCCCCCTATCCACCCACATCAGCTCCCTCCTGAGCACTAACCAAGCTGCGCTGCCCCACACGTCCCATTGATTCCTGCTGCCCCAATCCCGAGCAATCATCAACCATTCTCCCTCCCTCCTCCCACCCCGCAAACCATATCCCTCCCCCCCCCCTCTCCCCCCTTCCATCCGCATCAGCTCTCTCCTGGGCACCAAGCTGCCCAGGCTCACACATGCTCTCTCCTGCTGTCCCAATTCCCAGCAACCATCAACCATTCCCCATCCCTCCTCCCACCCCGCAAACCATATCTCTCCACCCCTCCCCGCCGCCCCTATCCACTCGCACCAGCTCTGTCCTGGGCACCAAGCTTCGCTGCCCCGCGCGCCCCGCCGACTCCTGCTGCCCGGGATTCCTTCAAACCGGCCTGCCCTTCTGCTCCAACATCTGCAACGAATTCTGCCAAGAATGCAAACCACCCTGTAACCCCCTCTCTCTCTCACTGCCGACCACCATCCTGTAACTGCTTCCTCATCTCACCACCTCCTCTCCTCTCCACATCACCTCCTCCTCTCCACATCGCTGCCTCGTTCAAATCAAACTACCATCTTGCCACTCATTTCTGTATCCATGTATTGACCACTCATTTCCTCTCCCTTTTCACCCCTAATTCGGTCAACAACAACTTTTCCTGGCTTGACTCAGCAGCTACTGCGCTCGCTCGAGTTCGAATCCCCACCGACACCACTCTTGTTGCAATCCACTCCACCCTCCCCAACTCCCCTGCGCTGACCGCCTACCAGTGCTATCACCAGCAGGCATAGCAGGCGTGGTATTGGGGAGTGTGGTGGTGCTGCTGCTGGTGCTGCTTGTTCTGCTCTATGTGTGGTATTACTACTGGGGACCTGGGAGCCGCAAGGGTGAGTGGAGAGCAGAGTGGGTGCGATGGTGAATGAAGGTCAATGGTGGGGTGGGAGTGTGAGTGGGTTGGGAATGGGAGTGGGGTGGGAGCGGGAGTGGGAGTGGGAGTGGGAGTGGGAGTGGGAGTGGGAGTGGGAGTGGGAGTGGGAGTGGGAGTGGGGTGGGAGAGAGGGGTGGGAGAGATTACGAGCGCTGCTCAAGATATGGTTGGCACTAAACACGGTAAAACAACAACAGAGGTGAACCATTGTGCCGAGAGATATTCCAAAGAGTGCATCCCCATCTCCTCCGTCCCCATCCCACCATCTCTGCTCCTCCGTCCTTTCCTCCTCCTCCCTCCCACCCACTGTTCTTCCCCGCCCTGTGTGTCCCCCCACCCTCCCACCCCCCTCTTCCTTTCCCCCTTCCCCCACCCCCCCCGCCCCCTCCTCCCCCCCTCCTGGGCAGCGTGGGAGAGGGAGCTACAGCAGGGCTTTCGAAAGTACACGTGGAGGGAGGTGATGGAGGCGACCAACCAGCTGAGCCCCGACAACCTTCTTGGCAAGGGCGGCTTCGGCTCCGTCTATTTGGGAGTCATAGGCGGGTCCCAGCAGAGCGGGTGGAGCACGGGGGTGTGGAAGCGGGCAGAGGCTAGCTGGAAAGCAGCAAACAGCGGCATGGGTGCGGGGGATGGCAAGGTTGGGGCGAATAGCAAGAGTGGCGAGAGCGGCAAGAGCGGCAAGAGCAGGGAGAGTGGCCCGAGGGGTTGGAGTGGCACGAGTGGTGGGGTTGGGACGGCGGACGCGAGGATTGGGACGAGTGCTGAGAGTGCGACATGTATGGGGAGTGCGGGCATTGGGAGCACTGCTTCTGTTGCTCCGTTGGGCGACAGTGCCCCTGGGGTGGGCGGCGGCGTGCATGTGGCGGGTGGAGGTGTGCATGTGGTGGGTGGCATGGAGGTGGCGATAAAGCGAGCAGCTGTTGTGGAGCGATCATCCAACGTCGCCACCATGTTTGAAGAGGAGGTCAGTGTTGTGATGCGGTGAGGTGTATATCTGTGTGGTGTGGTGTGGGGTGGAGGGGTATGGCGGGGTAGCAAGGTGTCAGTCAGTTGATCGCAATAATGGGGCGAGGGGGCTGAGCACATGAAAGGACAATGGTCGTGTCAAGGTTTGAAAAAAAGCTATAATCTTGAGAGGTGGCCCAAAATCTAGATGTGCTCAATTACATAATGAAAATGACGATGATGTTTTAGCAAAACAGATGGCAACATCGTAGAAACCTTAGTCAAAACGTAAGAAGTTTGAGTTATGAACAACTCTCCTGCTGAATGACCGCAAGACACGCTACGTGTGGGTCCAGCCGTCGCCAAGAAGAGCGACTTAAGAACAACAGGAGTGAAGGCCGAAGAAGATGGAATAGTTCCATGTTACATGCGCATGAACACCAGGTCTGATCGATCCAGAGTGGTCGGCTTGAGGATTTCTCCAACTCGACCCGGCTTATAAGGGGTCGAATGGGGTCGGGTCGGCCGGCATAATCAGGGGTCGGGACAGGTCGGCATTACCTAGGGTCGGGTCGCGCCAGGTCGACCCGCTGGCAAATCCTAGTCCGAATTTGGTACGTGTCAGATCGGGTCAAGAACCTCCGAAGGAATGCCATGGCTTGCCCGATCTACTTGCCGAAGCTAAATGATGCAAAGTCCTCAATCATGAAGATTCCCGAAACCATTTACCACGGAGTGGGTAAGTGAGTTCCCAGGCATTTACGTGTTGAATGCCATTTACCGGTTGAATACACATGGTGCTATGGTACCATTTTCATCAACATTTTTTTGCTATTACGTTGTGCTCCAAAAATTATTCTTTTTTTAATCATTGTCCGATTTATCACCATAAATTCTCTAGTGCTTGCAATCTTGCTGTACACACCTTCATTATGTATCATGTCATTGAGAACAAACAAGCTGAGTGCAAAGCATGAGGTTGCAGCAATAGCCGTGTGGTTGCACAAACAACACGAATGGATCAGGGATGGATGGTTCGGTTAGGCGTAAGTGGGTTCACCAGGCGTGAATGGGTCGATCAGGCGTAAGTGAGTGCACGAGACGTGGCGTAAGTGGGTTCACCAGGCGTGAATCAGACATGAGCAGATGCGAGTTCAAATTTTGATAACAATCACCTGGGTACAACATGAGGCTATATATAGGCACGATACAAAGCAAGTTAACCAGGTGTTACGAGAAGGTTTCGAACATCGCGAAGCGTCCCGAACGGGTTCTTCCCGAATTCGGTAGAATCATCTCAGTGGAGTCATGCGTTACGCAAAGTCACGTGATCAAAATGAAACAGAATTCAGTGCACGTAACATGTTCGCTGCCTATAACTATAATAACTACAGTAAAGCAATGAAATTAGGAAAACAAGCACAAGAAAATATAAAGCAAGATAATGCAAGGTAAAGTGAATATGGGTAGGCGTAACCGTTGTACTCTCACCGGCAACACCACAAGCGTCAGCACCCCCTGAACCAGCACCTACTGCAGCCGCACCCCCCTCACAAGCGCCTCCAGCGTCCACAATAATTGGCCGCTGCGTCCTGAAACCTAGCGGCTGCGACAAAGGGTGCTGCGCTGACTGTGAATACAAGGATGGTGACAAAAGGGACTGCGAGGTGACGTGCGACAGGCCGGACGGGGCAAAACGCGGTGGGACAGGGACTACTTGAGGGGCGGGACCAGGAGGGGGAGCAGCAGTGAGGAATTCAAGAGGTGGGGAGAGACTGCCACCTCGTTAAGGGAAGAGGACGTAGTAGGAGACCAACTCGTCAAATGTGATGTTATGAGAGTTGAGAAAGACGGTGATAGGACAATCAGTCAGAAGTGGAACTGAACAGAATCACTACAAAAGGGTTATAACAACAAAACTAGAATGGCATAAAGGGTTATAACAACAAAACGTGTACCCTCTATAATATGCTCCAGCATGTGCAACCTAGCCTACCAAACATATAACAATTATCGATTGACAGATACCACCATCATGCAACATGCCACTGTGCAACCAGCCCACTATGCCACCATGCCACCATGCATTTATGCCACCATGCCACCATGTCTGGCAGGTGAAGGCGGTGTCCAAGTTGAGCCACAAGAACCTCGTGCGCCTCCTTGGCTACTGCAACGAGAACAACGAGCAGGTGTGCCCTACCCTTGCTACTATCATACTAACCTACCCTACCTGCTATTGCGCCACCCTAGCCTTGCAGGCACACTGAGCAAGAATGACTTTTTGCATTGTCCTGTTATAGTTGCCCTTTAGTGCTGGTGTATGAGATTGTATTGACTCCCTGAATCGTCCGTATTATCACCCCTTCCCCCTCTCTCTCCCAACACTTGGCAAGTGTTAGTGTACGAGTATGTGCGCAACTATTAACTTCCTAAATCATGCCCCCCCTCCCTTCCTTCAACCAGGTGTTGGTATACGAGTATGTGCGCAACGGCGACATCAGCGACCATCTGTATGCGAGGTTCTGCGGGCACTTGCTGACCTTTGAGGAGCGGCTGGACGCGGCACTGGGGCTGGCGGAGGGACTCAAGTACCTTCATTATCATGCAGAGAAGCCCATTGTGCACCGCGACATCAAGCCCTGCAACGTTCTGCTCACAGAGGACTACCAGGTAAGTAGAGAGAACCATTTGGAGGGTGGCATGCCATATGGCATCATGCTTTCTTTGTGGAATTCCACTACGATAGCAGCTCGGAAGCACGATTTCAACGAACCCAGGATCGCAGAAAACGATCGACTATAGCCAAAGATACAAAAAAAATACAAAAGCACAAAACAAAAGCACACAGGGAAGTGTCGAGGCACGAGACGTCGGAGCTCGAATTTCATTGACGCAAGCACGGCTAGCACTTTCAACATGACCGCTATGTTCATGTCGGCTTGAACACAGCATCGCCGACTTCGGGTTGATTCGGTCTCTGCAGGAGGGCACGGAGCAGCCCTTCCACGCGCCTCGCACTGCATGGCTTGCATCCTTTTGCTCTGCACCACGTCCCTTCCATTGCAGGTGAAGATCGCCGACTTTGGGCTGATTCGGTCGCTGCAGGAAGGGGCGGAGCAGGACGGCACGTTCACGCGTGTGGCGGGCACGAGGGGGTATCTGGACCCCGAGTACATGACGTGTGAAAAGCTCTCTACTGCAAGCGATGTGTACAGGTGTGTGTTGCACTGCAGAGATGTACAGATTGTGAACGTGGAGTTTGCAGGTTTGTGAGTGTTGTGAGGGCTCGACCTTCAATTGTTACTATAAAAAAGATGTTCTTACTGACAATCAAGTCAACTGTAAGAATATTGGCTAGTATCTCCATTTGTGGGATGGAAAGGAAACGTCAGTTGATCACATCTGGGCCAGGATGATTGAGATTTTGTGTGTAAATCCCAACCTGGGAATTTTTCCTTTACACCAAACTAGGATATCTTATGAATAATGCACTGGTACAAAATTGGATTACAACAGTCTGTCTCTAGCAAACATTTATGAGCTGCAACCCAAGTAGGATGCAAGCGATGCAACGCGCAAAGGCCCATGGAATGAGTAAGTCCATGGTCGATAAATCATCGAGGTTGCATTCATACATATAGGCGTGAGCAAAAGGTCCAACACCTCGACCCGAACACGTTCTTGTTCGCCCGAACATGTTTGGTTGGGTTTGGCCCTCAAGGCCGAGCCATGTCGATCACAAACACCTTTGGGGTTCAAATGTGTTCATGGCGATCACAAACACGTTTGGGGTTCAAATGTGTTCATGGCGATCACAAACACGTTTGGGGTTCAAATGTGTTCATGGCGATCACAAACGCGTTTGGGGTTCAAATGTGTTCATTGTGATCACAAACACGTTTGGGGTTCAAATGTGTTCATGGCGATCACAAACACGTTTGGGGTTCAAATGTGTTCATGGCGATCACAAACATGTTTGGGGTTCAAATGTGTTCATGGAGATCACAAACGCGTTTGGGGTTCAAATGTGTTCATTGTGATCACAAACGCGTTCGGGGTTCAAATGTGTTCATGGCGATCACAAACGCGTTTGGGGTTCAAATGTGTTCATGGCGATCACAAACGCGTTTGGGGTTCAAATGTGTTCATGGCGATCACAAACACGTTTGTGGTTTTAATGTGTTCATTGCGATCACATTTGTGTAAACGTACGTCTCCACACTGTTTTCTGAGTTCCACAACCCAACCAAACCGCACAAGCAGGAAGGCACTCAAATACACAACAAAAATAAAAAACGTCCGGCAGTGCGAGAATTGCAAAACACAGCCGGTGTGCTGCTGCTGCTGATGGTGACAGGGCGGCTAGCCACAGCCAAAATTCACCTCATCCCCTTCCAGTGTGCCTCTTATCCCCATGCCGCCTTCTCCCTCGCATCCCACATGACCTGCCCACCAGCTACAGTGTGCTGCTGCTGGAGATGGTGTCGGGCCGGCCGGTCACAGCCAAGTGCATGGCTCAAAAGTCACCTCAACTCCATGCTTTGTTCCCTCTCATCTCCATGCCCTGCCTCCCTCGCATCCCATGTGACCCCCCCACCAGCTACAGTGTGTTGCTGCTGGAGATGGTGACGGGGCGGCCAGCCACGGAGAGCGACCCCAACGACCAGACCTGCCTCAGGCACATCACCTCCTGGGTGAGCTGTCATGTCCACGTCAGCACTTGGGTGAGCTGTCATGTCCATGTCAGCAGTTGGGTGAGCTGTCCCATAAAGTCATGGTTGTGAACAGTACCACCTGCTCTTTTTCTCACACGGTTCACGGCGTTTCTCATCTCTCCACATCCATCCATGTCTCTCCCCATCCCTCCACGTCCCTCCTCATTCCTCCTCGTCCGCCTCCCTTATGTCAGGCAGTGCCATAAATCGAGCGCGGGGAGATTTGAGTCATCCAACATCTTCTTTCCCCGTCCTCTTTTCCAACCCGTCTCCCCACCAGGGGGGGGCGTACATCGAGCGTGGGGAGATCCACATCCCCGTGATCCACTCACTGTGCTATCCTCCGCCGCTTCCCCTTACCCACCCTCTACAACTCCCATTCCCCCATCCCCAACCCTCCCCCCCTGCCCTCCCCTCTCTCTTCCGGGCGGTGCAGGGAGACATACGTTAGCTAATATCTCGTCTTCCCGTCTCTTTATCAACCCCGCCCCCCCCCAGGCGGTACCATACATAGAGCGAGGGGAGATCCGAGAGATAGCGGACGCGCGCATGGCCTCGCCGCTCAACCTGCCCTTTCTGCTGCAGATGGCGCGCACCGCCGCCCTCTGCGTGCAGCTGCCGTCCACGCGCCGCCCGGACATGGCTGAGGTGGCACGTGTCATGCTGGACGCCCGCCGCACCTTCCATGCCGCCGCCGCCGCCGCCGCTGCCGGCGCCGCTGCCCTCGCTGCCGCTGGTGGTGCTGCTGGTGGGGAAGGGGTGCAGGGAGGGGAAGCGGGAGGAGGAGGAGCAGGAGGAATAGGAGGAGCAGGAGGAGCAAGAGGAGTAGGAGGAGCAGGAGGAGCAGGAGGAGCAGTGGGGGCAAGAGGAGCAGGAGGAGCAGGAGGGTCTGTGGGACTGGCAGCTCATCTCTCAAGAGGGATTCGAGGTGTGGCAGGGGCGCTGGGTGGGAAGGGGAGCCCCCGAGGAGCAGAGGTGGGGAGGAGTGGGCTGGTGGGTGCCAGCGGCAGGGCGTTGGGGAGTGAGAGCATGAAGAGATGGGTGCATTACTTCGGCGGCGGGGGTGGAGGGCGGAGCAGGCAAGAGAGTAATCGATTTGAAGAGACTGTCCCAAAGGGCACGGGGCCCACGGAAGGAGGAGTAGAGAGTGGGTAACACGTCAAGCAGCGACTCTACTAGTGGGGATAGCGTTTTACCGTGGGGGGAGAGGAGAGTTGCAAGTGTGTGTCTGGCGCATGAAGTGCAGATTCTGTTCCTCCAGCTTTGAGCAAGTGTAAATTCCAGTAACCAGTACATGCTGACGGCTAGCACACCTAAGCAGCTTGTCTAGTGGTCGCTCTGTAACAAGCTGCTCCTGTTCTAATCCAGGGCCTTCGTTAGGATAGGATTTTAGGCATCGTGAGTTCGCATGTTATCCTCCAAGAGGCCTACTGATCCGAAACCGCCACAATGTAAATACGAGAAGTCGGGTGGTTTGGAGCGCCAGGGTCTCCCTCGGGGGCTAGTAACATGGCAAATAGGTGGGGAGCAACGGCTGCAAATAACTCTAGTTCAAACCGCCTGTCCTCTTGAACGTCACTGCCAAGGGCAAGCTTACCTCCAGCGGACAAAGGACGGGTAGGAGGAGCACCAACCAGCCAAATGACATAGTCAAGGTAGCAGGTAGAGGCAGAGTCAGTGACAACGACGACAAGATTCGATACAAACGACGGAGAGGCTGTTGTGTCAGCCACGAGAGGGGAGAGAGCACGAGAGACGACATGGCGAGTAGTACAGAAATAGCGGATAAAGACAGTGAAGAAACAGTGAAAGGCGACCCGGGAAGTGACGCGAGGACAGACAGAGGTGGAACACGAGGACGGAAAGTACGAAGAAGTGCAGGTCAGGGATAGGAGACGATTGACGATTGAGATCGGGAGGTTTTGCAAGGGACAGAGAAGGAGGCAACGAAGGAGACCGTCATGACCAAGAAGGGGAATGCGCCGGAGACGCGCCTTGAGGAGAGAACGTGGGACCGTAAGCAAGAAGAGATGGTGAGAAATCACGAGGAGGGGAGGGAAACCAAGACTATGAAGACCACTCACAGGCAGCGACGACTGCTGCAGTAAAAGCGGTTGTTGCGGCTGTGGCTGCTGCGGTGGCTGATGCTACTGTTGTTGCTGCGACTGCTACAGCAGAAGAAGTTGGAACTTGGTCAGGTAACGAGGGACGACTGGGGCAGGTGCCGCCGCTGCAGCACCCCCAGGACCAGAACCTCCAGTGCCAGTACAACCGGGTCCAGCACCTCCAGCTGCATCATCCCCCAAACCAGCATTTCCAACTCCAGAACACCCAGTGCCAGGACATCCAGCTCCAGCACCTCCACCACCAGCACGCCCATAACCAGCACCCACAGTGCCAACACTTCCAGCCAGGCCCCACGTTTTCAGAGTAAATTACTCTGTTTCTCTGAAAATCATAGTCATTTTTTAGAGGAACTCTGTATCTGCTGGGTTTTGAATTTGGAAGTTGAGTTTTCTCTGATCTATCAGAGTTTTTGTGTAGGCTACTCTGAGGCCTCTGGGTTTTTTTTTCTAAGGATCGAGTTTACTCTGTATAGAAGATACATGCCCCCTAGCCCCCCCCACCCCCCCACCCCCCCACACCCCCCCTCTCCCCAAATACCGGGGTTTCCCCGAGTCGCCGAGAACATCATCCAGATTTCGTTCATGAGCGACTCGGCCAAGGCCTGCTAGTGCTTGGCTGGCTCTCGGCTAAAAACAAAACGCTTTACAACAGGCGTTACAATACACCCATACAGTTCATACACATTTGTGAACTGTTATGAATGAACTTGCATGGTGCGGAGAATATCGAATAACGAGAATGAGAATTACAGAATGACCATACAAGGGAAGTGACGAGACCTAAATAGGGGAAGTCCTAGCTAGGCGGAGAGGTTGGGCGAGGATGGCTCGGTGATGGTTGCGATTGGAGCGGAGGCCGACTCGGGAGTGGTTCGGTGTGACGAAATAGGAAGGACAGGTTCGTCGCATGACCCTCGGGATGGCCTCGATAACGAGTGCCTCAGTAAGGATTTGTAAGTCCTTACATGAACTAACATCAGAGTAAAAGAAATTGTTACTCTGACGTGCCTGGGTTTTTTTTCCGAAGTATAGGGTTACTCTGACACCTCAGAGTAAGGCGTAGGAACTACCCTAGATTTCAGAGTTGGCAAAAAAACTACTCTGGAAATCAGAGTGCCTAAAATCCAAAAGTAGGCCCTGCTTCCAGCTCTAGCACCCCTACAACCAGCACCTCCAGCTCCAACACCTCTAGCTCCAGCACATCCACCACGAGCACCGCCAGAACCAACACCACCCACAGTGCTAGCACCTCCAGCTCCAGCACCTCCAGCGTCAGCACCCTAGACACCAGCTCCTCCAGAACCAGCACCAGCACCTCCATGGTCAGCATTCCAGGAGTCCACTGTGACGTGTCGAGGCAGCACCGAAGGCTGTTGCGGTGACTGTCAGGATGACACAGGGGACTGTAGTGAAGGAGACGACATCATATGTGCTACAGAGGGAATTGAGATAGTGTGAGACACACCTGATGGGGCAGGACCAGGGTGGGATGGGAGTACAAGAGGAGCAGTGGGAACGAGGATGAGGGGAGGGGAGGGAACCGGGAGACCTTGGTGGGGGTAGCAGGCATAGAAGGACACATACTTGTCAAACATGATATCGCAGGAGTTGAAGAACCGGTGGAGGGGCGGGTGGTAAGACTGAAAGTCAGGGGCGTCAACTGGAAACCCCAGAAAGTTGCAGGGGAGGGTGCGAACCGAGAGCCTGTCCGCGCGAGGATCGCGGACATGCGCAAGGCAGCCCTAGACACAAAACGTGTCAGAATCCTAGCTAGATCTTAGTAGCCATGGCTAGGGTTTAGGTTTTACGAAGGAGAAATCAGAACAGAGAAGAGGGATTTCCACTAGCAGCAGATAGGATACATATAGCAAACCCTAACTGGGTTTTACTCACTACAGAGTACCCCACTGCAGACTAGACAATTATTTAACATTCTGACACACCCCCATAGTCAAAATGGGGTATAATCAGCACAACAAACAGTCGCATAAGAAGTTCACAAACACAAGCAGAGCTAGAGGCAGTCACAAAGGGCAAGTGAGGAGGAGGAGGGACTGTGAGAGGAGTGGAGATAGGAGGCAACGGGTGAAGCCGCAGACACACGGGCAACAGGAGGGGCGCGCTAAGTGGCTACCGGAGCAAGGGCCCCAGACTACAGGAGTAACTGGCTCCGCGGCTAAGACGAGCGGCAGGAGCAACGGACCCACGGGCGACTGGCTCGCTGGGCTACCGGAGCAAGGGCCCCGGACTACTGGCGCTGCTGACGTTACGACGGCTACCTCCTCTCAACCTCCCCCACTGTCGCAGACCCCCTTTCACACACCCCCTGCTGCACCCCTAGCTCCACTCTCACGACACCCCCCTAGCGCCACTCCCTCGGCTCCCACACACCCACCCCCCTCAGCGGCAGCTGCAGTAGTGGGAGACGGAGGAGGAGGAGGAGCACGGGACGGTCACACACTCGCCACCCCCATACCCGCCACCCCCACACCCCAAACGCAGGCGGCGTGGGGCAGAAACGCGGGCAGCAGTTGGGGCGCTGCGACGGGCGACGGGCAGGGCGGCGCACGGGCCCCCAGGGCACCGCGACGGACGATGGGAGGGGGCGACGAGCGGGCCCCCAGGGCGCCGCGACGGGCGACGGGAAGGGGGCGACGCGCGGGCCCCAGGGCACCGCGACGTGCGACGGGAGGGGGGGACGTGCGGGCCCCCAGGGCGCCGCAACGAGCGACGGGCAGGGCAGCGCGCGGGCCCACGGGGCAGCGCGCGGGTCGACGGGGAGGGACGCGCGGGTCCCCGGGGGCGGCGCGACGGTCGACGAGGGGGGGGCGCGCGGGTCCCCGGGGTGACGAGTAAGGCAGTAAACTGCCGCACGCCTCGGGGCACACGGCGGGCAGAAAACCGCCGCGCGCCCCGAGCGCGTGGCAGGAAGAAAAAACGTCGCACGCCACGGGGCGCGCGACAGACAGGACAGCAGCGGAAGCAGGTGGGCCCACAGGCCAAGAGCGTACTCGCTCTGATAGCATGTCAGAATCCTAGCTAGAGCTTAGTAGCCATGGCTAGGGTTTAGGTTTTACGAAGGAGAAATCAGAACAGAGAAGATGGGTTTCCACTAGCAGCAGATAGGATACATATAGCAAATCGTAACAGTGTTGTACTCACTACATAGTACCCCACTGCAGACTAGAGAAATATAACATTCTGACAAAACGCAAGCGCGGCACAAGTAGACCCAGTCCAGAGACTGGTCGGTGAAATTTATAGGCGCGGAAAATACCCGGCCAGAGGTTCAACTGGTGTGCAGCGTAGCAAACCGCTAAGGGCCACAGAAAATGGGGCGCAAGGGCATGGACCATGGAGTTACGTGCAATCTAACAACAACCCCATTCTGTTGTGACTAGTGCAGAAGCGTGAAGGATTGGGTGATGCCCTTCTCGTGACTAAACATGGCAAGAATACAAGGGAAAAACTCACCTCCAGGCCGGAGTATAGACAATGCAGAGGAGGGCGTGCTGGGCGCTAGTCAGCAGCAACCACGAGATCAAAACATCAGGCATGTGGGCTTTCAGCTGCAGGAAACACCGTGTTGTAGCGGGAAGTCATCCACAGCCACAAGGCTGAACCTCCGATCTCGCGGCCCAGTGACTGTAGTAGGGCCCCAGACGTCCATGCGCAAAGTTTGAAGAGGTGCAGTGCTAGGTGGAAGGGCGGAGGTGTGAGGGGTTGTTTGTTGCTGACCCACAATGCAAGGAGTGCACGACGGAGCAGGCGAATGATGAAACAGAGAAATCAGGAGCGGGAACTTGACACAAGATCGGACCTATACATCTAACGGAGACGTGGGAGTGCAGAGTGACCAAGTCGATGGTGCCACAGGGAGTGTGAAGTGTGCACACGCAGACGCAGTGTGCAGTGTGATGAGACCTCACGAAGAATCCAGGGAGAACGTCGCAAGAGGTGCTCAGTGGAAGCGTTCATAAGGGTCGGACTTGCAAACCTCTCGTGTGCAGGAAAAGTGATTGTGACCCAGCCGTCTTGAAGGCGTCCAACACCCACCAAGTTTCTGGAGAACGAGAGAATTGGGAGACCTGTGAGGGAACCAGAGGGGATTGCCAGGCATAGGAGAGTGGTAGAGTTGCGAGCAATGGCGAGTTCGGAAGTAAGATCAGCCAAAGTAGCTATGACTGTTGCTGGAAGTGGTGTGACAGTTGTGTGGTAGGCGAAGAAGCACTGTGATGCGCCGGAGTCAAGCGTGAAAGAAAGAGACATGGCACCAGTAGTCACACATGGGCTGAAAAATAATAAGGAAAAAAAAAACCTACTCTAGAAGGCAACTATCCTAAGCTAGGTATGTGCAAGCAAACATTTCCAGCGGTACTACAGTCAACAACAATACGTACGACAGAACGAACATCATCCATGGTCACATCAAGCATACGGTAATCATGGCGAAGCAGAGCAAGCCAGTACAAGGGAAATGAGTGGTCAGGAAACGCTCACGGTAGAGGTCGTTGAGGCAGCACAACACAGAGTAGTCAGGACGCCTACAAAAAGTGCCAACAAGGGGCTAATCAATATACGATGCTGGCAGGGCCCAACGTCGCGGCCACCGTGACGAGCCCCCCAGCTGTCTGGGCCGCCACTGCTGGGAATGCTACTACTGCTGCTTCTAAACCTGTTGCTACTAGGGCCACTGTTGCTGCACTGCGGCCACTTCTGCTGCTACGCCGACATAGTGGTCTAGCAGGAGCGACACAGACAGCATTTTAGCAGGGGCGGCATGGGTGGCAGGATGAGTGGCAAGCACGAGGCAAAGCACAGCAGGCGCGGCAGGGTGCGCGGCACGGTGCGAGGCAGGGCACGGTAGACCGCGATAGGAGCGCTGCAAGTAGTGCGCGGCGGGTGTGGCGGTAAGGCTCGGCATGCGTCAAGCGCATTAGAGAGGGGGGGGAGGGGGGGGGGGGGGGGGGGGGGGGGGGGGGGGGGTGTGGATGTGGGGATGGGGGGATGATGCGGGCGTTGGAGAGGGCCACTTGAGGGCACGAGGGCAGCTAGCGAAGTACCGGTGAGTAGAAGCGAGAAACCTAACAGAAAATGGTACCATATCAAAAACTGAATGAATGAGTCATACCGTATCGCCCCGTATATAAGCGCAGGCCTATTAAAAGCGCATGCGCTTATATCAGGAGCAATGCGCTTATGGCTGATCCTCAATTATAAGCGCACCCCCTGTAAAACCCTGTTTTATTATAAGCGCATCCATAATTTTTTATTTAAAATCTGCTGAACATAGTAACGAGTTTCAGAATTGAAGCGAGCCTAATTTCTTTATCGCTTCGTTTGACTCGCAAAGACCTCAGAAGCTGCGCGTCAGGCCAAGATGTGCTGGCATAGGGGCAAACTGACGTGTCTTTGCCCCTGTGTGTTGGTAAAAAATCGGTAGCGCGCGATTCTGATTCCTGGCGCTATAAAATTTCGCCTCGATTGGAATGGTACGACTGAGATGTACATTATGATGCGATAAAAATATATTTCTGTATGTCATTATATAAGCGCATGCGCTTATAAAAATGACTCAATCAGAAGTGCACCGCCCTAAAAAACTCTGCTTTATTATAAGGGCAGGTGCGCTTCTATCCGGGGTAATACGGTAAAGGCATACGAAGGGGGTAGAACTTGCATCCTTAATTTTGTATAGTAAACCCCAACCTAGCCTACAAAGTACACATGCAAACGCACACACACATACATACGTATATATACATATATGAATGTGTGTGTGTGTGTGTGTGTGTATATGTGTGTGTGTGTGTATGTGTGTGTGTGTGTGTGTATGTGTGTGTGTGTGTGTGTGTGTGTATGTGTGTGTGTGTGTGTGTGTGTTTTGTTGTGTGTGTGTGTGTGTGTGTGTGTGTGTGTGTGTGTACGTTGACATAGGTCTGCTACCTGCCGGTACGCACTGGTAATGGAATTCACACTTGCTGCTTGAATCTGGAGGAACAGTGTACTTAATGCGCCAGACACACACTTGCGGCTCTCCTCTCCCCTCAAGGTACGTCTCTATCTCCACGAGCAGAGTCGCTGGTTGCTGTGTTACCAGTGGTAACCGTATATCCACTGTCGGGCTTCACTGAGCCAGTCTCTGGGACAATCTCTTCAAATTGCTCACTCTCTTGCCTGCTCCGCCCTCCACCCCCGCCGCCGAAGTAATACACCCATCTCTTCATGCTCTCACTCCCCAACGCCCTGCCGCTGGCACCCACAAGCCCACTCCTCCCCACCTCTGCTCCTCGGGGGCTCCCCTTCCCACCCAGCGCCCATCCCCCACCCAGGATTCCTCTTGAGACGTGCGTTGCCGCAGCTGCTCCTGCTCCTCCTCCATGCACCCCCGGCCCGCCAGCACCACCAGTGGCAGCAAGGGCAGCGGCGACGGCAGCAGCGGCGACGGCGGCGGCATGGAAGGTGCGGCGGGCGTCCAGCATGACGCGCGCCACCTCAGCCATGTCCGGGCGGCGCGTGGACGGCAGCTGCACGCAGAGGGCGGCGGTGCGCACCATCTGTAGCAGAAAGGGCAGGTTGAGCGGCGAGGCGATGCGCGCGTCCGCTATCACCCGGATCTCTCCGCGATTGATGTATGGCACCGCCTGGTTGTGGGGGGAGGGATGGAGGAGGGGCGTGTGAAGGGCAGGGTGATTCAAATCGCCACGATGGCAGGATGTACAGCACAGCCTGCTGGAGGGTGGTTTGGGGGAGGAGGGGGGAAGATTGTCAAATCTCCTACGCTCGCGGTACAGCACTGCATGGTGAAAGGGACGGGGAGGGGTGGCGGAGGGGCGGCTGTAACGAATGGACATGGAGAGGTGCAGCATGGAAAGAGAAAAAAAACTCCCGTTCGGGGCAATTTACGATGAGGGATGTGGTGCAGGGTGGCTCGGTTTGGCAGCATGTGCTTTGAAAGCTTGTGGTATGCGCTGGTTGTTGTGAGGCTGGAAGGAGCATGGACAGGGGCATGTGATAATGCTTTCCGGAATGATATCACAGCCATAAAGTTGTGGCAGCTCATTATTGCGCTGACATGGACATGCCAGCTCATCCATGCGCTGACGTGGACATGCCAGCTCATCCATGTGCTGATGTGGACGTGCCAGCTCATCCATGCGCTGACGTGGACATGCCAGCTCATCCATGTGCTGATGTGGACGTGCCAGCTCATCCATGCGCTGATGTGGACATGCCAGCTCATCCATGTGCTGATGTGGACGTGCCAGCTCATCCATGCGCTGACGTGGACATGCCAGCTCATCCATGTGCTGATGTGGACGTGCCAGCTCATCCATGCACTGACGTGGATATGACAGCTCACCCAGGAGGTGATGTGCTTGATGCAGCTCTGGTCGTTTGGGTCGCTCTCCGTGGCTGGCCGCCCCGTCACCATCTCCAGCAGCAGCACGCCGTAGCTGGAGGGCAGCTCACAGGGGAGGCGAGGGAGCAAGCAAGGAGGGAATGAGGTGACTTGTGGCCGTGGCTGGCCGCCCTGCCACACTGTAGCTGGTGGGTGGCTCAAATGGGTCAGGGTGAGCAGGGCGTGGTAATGTGAGGGAAGAGGATGGGGATGCGAGGCAGGGAGCGAAGGCATGAGAGACATGAGGATGGGAATGAGGTGACGTTTGAGTCGAGTCAACACTCCCTAGCCGTGGCTGGCCGCCCTGTAATCGACTCAACAGTCCCAGCACAGCAGTCACCAACTCCAGCAGAAGCACTCAGTAGCTGGTGTGTGCAAATGCGGAGGGATACGGAGACATGCGGAGGGATATGGAGAGAGACAGTGAGTTGTGGAGGAGAGACATGGAGAGATGTGGAGAGATATGTAAGGGTGTGGATCACACACACACACACACACACACACACACCCCACAAACACACACACACGCACACACACACACACTCTCACATACACCCACACACAAACACACACACACCCACCTGTACACATCGCTCGCAGTGGAGAGCTTCTCGCACGTCATGTACTCGGGGTCCAGATACCCCCTCGTGCCCGCCACACGCGTGAATGTGCCCTCCTGCTCCGCGCCCTCCTGCAGCGACCGTATCAAACCAAAGTCGGCAATCTTCACCTGCATGGCAGCAAGGGAGGTGGTGGGGAAGGTGGTCACGGGTTGAAGGGGGGATGGGAAGTGGTTGCATGTGCATGGTCTAGAGGCCTCCCATATCAGGCACGATTCGGCGATCTTCATCTAGACGGGACGCGGCACGGGTGGTTGGGGAATGGGAGGGGAGGGCAGGAGAAAGACACAGTGATTATGTCCATGCCTTGTCTAGAGAACTTCGAACAGCAGCAGCTGCTTAACAGACACCGTGGTGGTGCCATGCTTTGTCTAACAAACACCATGGTGAGAGGCTCAGAATGTCCGGAGGTCTCAATGGGCTTCCCTGCATCCTGGCATGCCATTCTGCCATGTGGCACTCAGTGATTGGCTTCCCCTTACCTGGTACTCCTCTGTGAGCAGCACGTTGCAGGGCTTGATGTCACGATGCACAATGGGCTTCTCTGCATGACAGTGCAGGTACTTGAGCCCCTCTGACTGGCATCGTGTGATACCCTGCTACCGCATTCCACCCACCTGGTACTCCTCTGTGAGCAGAACGTTGCAGGGCTTGATGTCGCGGTGCACAATGGGCTTCTCTGCATGATAATGAAGGTACTTGAGCCCCTTCGCCAGCCCCAAAGCAGCGTCCAGCCGCTCCTCGAAGGTCAGCAGGTGCCCTTGGAACTTGGCGTACAGGTGGTCGCTGATGTCGCCGTTGGGCACATACTCGTACACCAACACCTGTCAAGAGGGAGGGGGTGGGGGATGACTTTTTGAGTCGACTCAAGAAGCCGCTCCTCGAAGGTGAGCAGGTGCTTGTGGTACTGAACGTATAGATGGTGGCTCAGAGAGCCGTTGCACACAAACTCGTACACCAACACCCGGTGGAAGGGGGTTGCAATGGGACAACTCAAAGGCCAGCAGGTGCCCACCAACCTTCTCGTACGGGTGGTCGCTCAGAGGGCCTTCACGCACATAGGGGGGGGAGGGAGGGTGGTGGGGTGGTTTAGGGACAAGCACAGACGTGCGGTTGCGCACAAGCAGCTGCGGGGACATGCAGTATCAGACCCGCTGCCACCCCTCAATACAAGTCTTCATATGATGAAGTATCAACTTGTGAAGCTGCTACAAGAAGGTGTAATAAGGGGCTTTAGAGATTTCTTAATCAAAAAGCAAAAGGCTGCACCATGTGGTCAAGGATGAGGATGCAGCTGTCTGTCACGACTAAGGGGAATATTCTTAGGAGACAAGGGCGGCATTTTTTGGAAGAGAGCGGCACCTGCTCGTTGTTCTCGTTGCAGTAGCCGAGGAAGCGCACGAGATTCTTGTGGCTCAACTTGGACACCGCCTTCACCTGCCAGGCGTGGGGACAGCCAGACCAGGAGAGTACGTGAGGGGGAGAGAGAGGGGCCACGTGGCATGGTGGCATGGTGACACAGAGGCATGGTGACATGGTGGCATGATGGCATGGTGGCATGATGGCATGGTGGCTTGGTGGCAGCAATGATGTCGATACTATTGTACGGAAACCTTGAGTAGAAACTTCTGTGCGAAGTAGGGAGCCATAGAATTACTCTTTACATATATTTGACATGTACGTATTGTAATGGAAAATACGTCATGTGATACACACACATATCCCAAACGTTCCCCATCGACAATTTTTGGGAAAAATTTGTAAGACACGTCGCATAGACTAAGAAAACTTTGATTTCCATCACCAACAATTTTTGCTGAGTTGTACGGGAAAAGAAAGAAAGAAAGAAAGAAAAAACGGTCGACATAAATTGAGCAAAAAAACATTGCCTGGTATTTTTCACAGGTGTGCTGTGTTGTGTGTGTGCCATCTTCGTATGTTTGCTTGGAGGATGGCCTTATGTGTTGAACGCATGCATCATTTCATTAGCACGGTATTGTAGATCGTGTGCCAAGTCATTGTATGTGAGTCGTGCGTGGTTCGATCTTGTCATTTATTGAACGTTCATTGAAAGTGTTGTGCAGCAAAGGCTCAAGGAAGACCTTGTACCACATTTTCAAGGTTCCAGTATGCTAAAAACTCGCCATGTCGTAAATAAAAAAATATCGGATCATTCCGTGACGCACCATCTATATTGAAGGATGTCACTTTGGTGGGTACTTCTGAGCCATTTCACGCTTGGCGATTGTGGGGCACATTCCCACCTCCTTGTACTTCTATATCTTAGGCTGGAAACCATCATATATTCAAGCTTCAATTTTAGGACTATAGTTGCTGTCATACTGCCGCTTGTTTAAACCAATAAAACGATCACTAACTACTTGCTAGAATGATGTGATTCAACTCAAATTACCTATAAAGAACGACGTTATTTAATATAGCATATGGTTTGGTGTCGTCACTTATTTGTAAGGGCGCGTGTCCTTCGTGGTCGGAGTTTGAAAAAAAGGTCGACCTTTTGATGGTAACCAATTTCGCAAATATCGTTTAGGGTTGTTATGCGACGTTCGTGTGTCCATGTTCAAAGATCGAGAAAACGGTAGGACACTCAACTGGGTCGACCTCGCATTCGAATTTCCACGCTCGGGCTTTGCTGTAAAAAGTCGAACTTCGACAGTCGAATTTTGCTGTGCCACGCGCCCTAATTGAGTTATGAAGCCCGGCTGAAATCAGTATCTTTTGCATTTTGATTTTGACATTCATTTTAGGCACATTCCAACAAAACGATTGTGCTTACCAACACATGCCTCATCAACTGAAGTATTCCTCTTTTCATTCGTTTAGCCCCCTCACCTTACTCATTGCAACCAAGTAGCACCTCCCTATCACACCAGGCCACGCTAAAACAGACCTATGTTGGAAAAGTCGCCAGCCTGGGCATGCGTACAGCGTATATACATAGACGAATATACGCTGTACGCAATACGCACGTACATTCGTTCGGAAAAATCCGGGCTGCCCGGCCAAAAATTAAAAATAAAAACTTCGCACACGAAATTGGAAAATGCGTCGCGACACACATTGTGCGCACGAATTTTGCAAATGCGACGTCAAATTGTTCGCACATCAACAATTCGTCGACCCCACCAACACACAAGTTTGGCAAGGGGACAGTCAAATCAACCGCATTGCACCGTCCTTTACCCCGCGACTCCAACTCAGCTACACGAATGTCTCCAACCAGCCTACCTCAACTCTCATCGAGGACAAAAAGGTAAGTCCCTCCCAACCCTAAACATTCTCATCAGTCACGTCGTCCAATTCTCTTTCTCCAGTTCTCTCAATCACCTCGCAGCTCTACGATGACGCCCCCTACTGGCACTGGCACTCCCGCGAGTGCAACTAATGAGGTTCCTCGTGCCGCCTGACCGGAAAAAAAGCTTTACCTGACCGGGCAGCGTATTTTTCACGTATTCTTGAGTCACCCATTCAGTGCATCCCGTATTATACGCAAGCGTATGTGCGCTTGCGTATAATATGCCGGGCGCGACTTTTCCAACATAGAAACAGACCTCTTTGCCACCGCACCACACGCACACTCCCTCCACGCGGCCATACCACACCCGATCACTCCGCAGCGCACCACAGAAACACTCCCTCCACGCGACCACACCACACTCGATCACACCGCACCGCACCACCGACACACCCCCTCCACACCACCACACCACTTCCGATCACACTGCACCGTACCACGAACACAACCCCTCCATGCCACCACACCACACCCGATCACACCGCACCGCACCGCACCGCGCACCTCCTCTTCAAACATGGTGGCGACGTTGGACGATCGCTCCACAACAGCAACTCGCTTGATCGCCACCTCCATGCCACCACCCACCACCACACGCACACCGCCGCCCACCTTGGGAGCACTGCCGCCCACCCCTGGGGCACTGCCGTCCGCAGGAGCAACAGAAGCAATGTTCCTGCTGCCTGCACTCGTAACGCTCCCCATACTTTTCCCACTACATACACTTGTGCCACTCCCCCCATTCGTCGTCCCACTCCCTCCGCTCATCCCATTCCCCTTGTGCATGCCGCTGCTTGCTTCTTTCCAGCTAGCCTCAGCTCGCTTCCACACCCCTGTGCTCCACCCGCTCTGCTGTGACCCGCCGATGACGCCCCAGTAGACGGAGCCGAAGCCGCCCTTGCCGAGCAGGTTGTCGGGGCTCAGCTGGTCGGTCGCCTCCATCACCTCCCTCCACGTGTACCTCCTGAAGCCCCCCAGCAGCTCCCTCTCCCATGCTGCCCAAAGGGGGAAGGAGGGCACAGAGGAAGGGGTGGAGCAGTCGCATCATCACTACCTCCTGAAGCCCACCAGCAGCTCCCTCTCCCACGCTGCTTGCAGGGGAGGCAAAAGGGGGTGAGAGAGTAGGGGGGGGCACAGAGGGCGGGGGAGCACAGTGGGAGGGAGGGAGGAGGAGGAGGAGGAGGAGGAGGAGGAGGAGGAGGAGGAGGAGGAGGAGGAGGAGGAGGAGGAGGAGGAGGAGAGCTCGGGGAAGCAGAGAGGGAAGGGGAGTTGTGAGGGCAGGAGAGAAGAGGGGGAGGAGGACTAGGAGGAGGAGAGGATGGGAGAGTAGGGATGGCAGGATGGAGGAGGAGAGGACGGGGGAGCAGAGATGGCAGAATGGAGGAGGAGAAGGGAGGGGAGATGAGCAACCTCGTCTGTGCTGCTGTCTGTATGCACCCTTTGGATCTCTCCGCACATCGAATCACGCCTGTAGTTGATTTACCATACGTGGCACTCCCTCCCACTCCATTCAAATTTCCCCACTCACACAACCTCATCCAACTTACCCTCCCAACCCCATTCACACTCTAACTCCAATCGTACTCCCCACCTCACTCACCCTCATCACCCCACTCAGCCTCCCCCTAAACTCACCCTCCCCATCCCACTCACCCTTGCGGCTGCCAGGTCCCCAGTAGGAATACCACACGTAGAGCGATACGAGCGGCACCACCACCAGGAGCGACTCCCAGCCCACCCCACGCACATCCCCACCACCACACTCGCCACCGCACCTCACTCTCCTTCGCCCCACTCACCCTTGCGGCTGCCAGGTCCCCAGTAGTAGTACCATATGTAGAGCGATACGAGCAGCACCACCAGCAGCAGCACCACACTCCCCACCACCACGCCTGCTATGCGTGCTGGCGAGAGCACTGGCAGGCGGGCGGTGCAGGGCGGATGAGGAGGGTGGATGGCACAAACGGGGTGGTGGGGGGTAACACACGAGTGATCACTGTTGCTGCTGAGTAAATAAGGGGTAAAAAGGGAGAGGAAATGTGTAGCAGACAGAAACGAGGAGGTGAAGTGACGAGGAGGAGGTGATGTGGCAAGGAACAGCTACAGATGGTGGTTGGCAGTGGGAGGGTTACGGGGTGGTTTGCATTGTTGGCAGTGAGAGAGGGGGTTACGGGGTGGTTTGCATTGTTGGCAGAAGTCGGGGCAGAGGAGGGAGCAGAAGGGCAGGTCGCTCTGAAGGCACCCCGGGCAGCAGGAGTCGGCGGGGCGCGCGGGGCAGCGCAGCTTGATGCCCAGCAGGGAGCTGATGCGGGTGGAAAGGGGAGTGGAGGGGAAGGAGGGATTGGGGGTGGGGAGGTGGAGGGGAGGGAAGGATTGGGGTTGAGGAAGAGGGAGGGATTGTGGGTGGGGGGGAGGAAAATGTTGGATGGAGGATAATCTCTAGGCAGCCCTGTGAGGAGTGAGCTGATGCGGGTGGGTGGAGAGGAGGAAAACGGGAGGGCGCTGGATGGATGGATGCTGTACGGGGAAAAGGTGAGGTGGATGCTGATCATGCAGGGTACAGGGGCAACAAGAGGGTGGCGGGGATAGAAACAGGGACAGTGGCGTGGAGAACAAGCTTATAGCGCAATCACGAGGGACAGCGATGAGGGCCAGGCCAGCGGTATTGGGAGGTGGGGATGGGCAGCGGGGGACGGCCAGTGACCACGGCAGGGTGGGGTGCGGGACGTTGAGAGTGTGCGAGTGCGAACTGCTGTGGCCAATGAGGTAGCAGGGTGCATGGGGAAGGGCTGAGGGGATGACGAGGGATCCCACTGGACAGCAGCGTGTGGCGATCTGTACGTGCTCCTGGACCGGTCGCCACATGGCCACGTTCACCCGTCGGCCTGGGTCGAGTCTGTACACACTGACTACTGCGCCTCATCAGGTAGCTGTGTCTGTGTTTGCGTCAGGTCAGCTTGCTGCCCCCTGCTCGTGTTGCGCTCTGTCGCACCAGACGCTCCTTTGGCACCACCGTCTTGGTCACCCCTCTGTGACACGCCTTCGTGGCATGCACTCCCGTCTCCTTGTCTCTAGTCTTCCCAGGTCTCTGCCTCCCCTCCCACCCTCGCCTGCCCCTCCCTGCCTTCCCTGTGTCGAGGGGCGGCAGCGCGCCGCTCCTCACTCCTCCTCGTTCCCCCCGACAGAGGCTCCCCTGCAGACTCTCCATCTGGACGTGTGGGGCCCAGCCCGCGTCCGTGGACAAGGCCACGAGCGATACTTTCTGCTGGTTGTCGACGACTACTCGCGTTATACCACAGTCTTCCCCTTTCGCCGCAAGGAGGAGGTCCCAGATGTTCTGATCCCTTGGATCTTCGCACGGACGTCCTTGACGACAGGGAGGAGGACTTTGAGTGCTTTGCAGCTGCTGTACCTCATCTCGTGTCCATGCTGATTGCACCTGAGGGAGACCCGGATGCACTGGACATCCCGACCCCGCGCTCTTACGCAGAGGCGATAGAGGGTCCCTACTCCTCTCAGTGGCAGTCAGCCATGGACGCAAAGATGGCATCCTGGAAGTCCAGAGGCACTTACTTTGACAAGGTTCCCCCACCTGGGGCGAACATCGTCAGTGGCATGTGGATTTTCAGGGTGAAGCGGCTGCTGGGTTCTCCGCCTGTCTTCAAGGCGCGTTACGTTGCACGAGGCTTCAGTCAGCGACAAGGAGTTGACTTCTTCCAGACCTTCTCCCCGACCTCGAAGATGACCACTCTTTGGGTACTGCTGCACGTCGCCGCTCAGCGTGACTACGAGCTTCACTCTCTTGACTTCAGCACTGCGTTCCTACAGGGCAGCCTGCACGAGGAGATCTGGCTGCGCCGCCCACCTGGCTTCACTGGGTCGTTCCCTTCTGGTACCCAGTGGAGCCTCCAACGGCCAGTCTACGGTCTCCGCCAGGCGGCTCGCGAGTGGCACGACACACTGAGGACGACCCTTGCGGCTCTTGGCTTTGCTCTCTCTACTGCTGACCCGTCGATGTTTCTACGCACCGACACTTCGCTGCCGCCGTTCTACATCCTCGTGTACATTGACGACTTGGTTTTTACCACTGCTGACACTGAGGCACTGACTCTAGTGAAGTCGGTGCTGCAGAAGAGACACATGTGCACAGACCTGGGTGAGCTGCGCAGCTATCTTGGCTTGCAGATCACCCGGGACAGAGCACGGCGCACCATTAACTTGACTCAGTCACATATGGTGCAGCAGGTCCTTCAGCGCTTCGACTTCCAGTACTCCTCGCTACAGTCCACTCCTCTGCCTACCGGTCACTCGCTCTCAGCTCTGCCTTCGGATGAGTCCATAGAGCCGAGTGGCCCGTATCCAGAGCTTGTGGGCTGCCTCATGTACCTGATGACCTGCACTCGACCTCACCTTGCTTACCTTCTTAGCATCCTAGCGCGCTACGTTGCGCCCGAGAGACACCGACCAAAGCACTGGAAGGCCACTAAGACGGTGATGCACTACTTGTGCAGTACCGTCACCCCCCGGATATAAGCGCCACCCTAGGATAAGCGCCAGGCGCTTATAATTGGCATATGGCGCTTATATCCGGTCCTCGATTATAAGCGCACCACTGATGGCTTATAGAGTATAAACGCTTTATCTGCATTGTTTTTTATTTTTTTAATGAAACATCTGTAACGAAACACACATTTTGCGTCCCGAATTTCGATGACCTTCAACCTCGCGCGACTCACTTCGTGCGCGTCTAGTCAGAATGACCTGTCATGTGGAAAACATGACTCATTTTGACTGTGTGTGTTGGCACGAAATCTATCCCTACCAACTTACGCGAGATTTCATTCACAGCACTCTCTAATTTTGACTCGATTCAAATCGCAAGAACGAGATGAACACTCTGATGTAAAAAACAGTAAAATTCATATATGTCATTATATAAGCCCCGGCGCTTATAAATTTGCTACAATATAAGCCCACCCCCCTAATAAAACATGTTTTTTTATACCCCCCCATGGGGGCTTATCCGGGGGGTGACGGTACGTCGGGCATGGGGCTCGTGCTTGGAGGACGGAGTCGAGTTGTCCTCACTGGCCACGCAGACGCTTCTTGGGTTGACGACTTGGCTACTCAGCGGTCGTCACAGGGTTACACCTTCAGCCTTGGTTCCGGCTCTGTTTCGTGGCGGTCTACCCGCTCGTCTTCTGTTCTCAGCTCCAGGTGTGAGGCTGAGATCTACGCAGGGGCCATGGATGCACAGGAGTTACGCTGGCTCACCTGACCTGGGAGAGGCGCCTTGATTGCCTTGTGTCAGGAGCATAGACTGGAGTACAGGATGAAGCCCATCGCTCTGCGTTACTTCCTTGCTCGAGAGTTGCAGCAGCGTGGTCAGCTTCGTCCTGCTTACGTGGCCCCTCGGGCCAACACTGCTGATATCTTCACCAAGGCACCTAAGCCTTGTGATCATCAGCGTTTCTGTACTGTTCTAGGTCTTGTGCCTACCTGGCCTCACTTGCTCACTTCTTGACTTTACTTGTACTGTGATCTATATACTTGTACCTGCTTGCTTACACTTGCTAGGTTGTGATCACTGTACTGTTTGTTCTCCTTTATATATAACTCTGCATGTGAACTGGCCTTGTGGCCATTTGCTTGTGCTCAAAATGTGTGGTGACTTCGTGATCCACCCCGAGCTTGCTTAGCCTTTCTTGACTGGTCTTGTGACCTCTTGTTCTCCCCCACTTTGCCTATGGGGGTGTGTCAAACTATATGTGCTGCTTGTTGTGTAGGCTGTAGTGGGGTAGCCCATATCGATTAGAACACAAATTAGGGTTTCGTACTTGTACCCATCCTGCTGCTAGTTCATTCATTCCTGTTCGTTATTTTGACATTACCATCCTGTTCCCGCCTAAATTCTTCGTGCTGCAACTGCCCGACCGATGCTTCTGCTCTGAGGGTCGAGATGCTGCCAATCGTATGCGACTCTTCGCGCCATTCTGACCTTTCGCCTTCGTACCGTCTATTCCAGATATAAGACCCTCCGGAATAAAAGTCCCATGGGACCTATATGCGGGGGGGATGTACGCTTAAGATGGTATAATCTATGAGGACCCCCCTTTTGCTATTAAACATATTATGACCCCCACGTTAATGTAGACTGTGCAGTTTTCAGTGCTTATCAAAATCCGCGAATCCGTTTTTAGGTGGGTGAGGGGAAATTCTTACGCGGTCAATGCGTCAGACTCGAAGTCTGACGCATTGACCATGTAAGACCGAAGCTTTGACTGGGTACTTTCGCCATTGCTTTCTAGTTAGGCTCGAATCAGGTAGAACAAACCCGCTGTATAGAGAAAAACAATCTTTTATGAGTAAAATATATGTATGGGGGATCTTATCATTTTCCGGCCTCCATGATGTTCACCCTAACATTTTTTAATGGATTTTTGGAAAGTCCCCCGGGTCTTTTATCCGGGTATAGACGGTACTCTTCTTTGCACTCTTCACTTGATTTGCTACTAACAGGAATGCAGTGTTCCTCAATTTACTATTCGTAGCGATAACAATGCAGTGTTTCTCAATGTAGTCGAAGGGCGCCGCCCTGAAGTCGAGAATGTGCGGGGGGCTTTCAAAAAGCGGGACTGGCAGGTTCCATTCATGTTCGACGTCGTCGTTATAGGCGTGGTCCGCGGTGAAAGGGTTGTTTTGCGAGAACGCCCCAATCGAATGTGGTGTTGGCTCTGGCGGCGGCGTGCGCACGCGGCGACGGCGGGTTCCCCGTGTATGGCGCATCACCATGTTGCTGATGACGTTGCTCGTGATTCTGTGTTGTGACGACTGCTATTGCTGGTGCTGAACCGTTCGGTTCGAATTGCGTTGTGTTGGCTGAAAGCCCTAGGCTTGATGCGTATCTTTCCTTGCGTCTTGTCGGCCTGCCCAAGTGCTCGGATTGGACTGGCGGGAGCTAGAGCGGAATTTGCATCGCTTCGTCAAATGCCCGAAATTTCAGCAATCTTTGCAGTAAATGCGCCGTGGTCATCGATCTTCTTTGTGGTTTGCGTAGAAGGCGAGTCATTCTCGTTCTCGTCACAGCGCGGGGCGCTACTGTTGATCCATATCCCGTTGTTCGACGATAAGAGAGTGCAAAAGACAACTTCCGAGAAACCTCTTCCGTGAAAGATTGTACTTGTCTTTATTTTTAAGTGTTCATTTTGATATGATTAAGCTGAGAGAGTTGCGTCATAGCTTGGGCATGGGACTTTTGGTGTTGAGGCATTTGTGTCAAGGGAGAAGGTTTGCGGGGTGGTTTCGCCGCCGATCACGACCGGTTGAGTGGGTTGGGAATAGGTTCTTGCATCGCCATTCCGCGATGTCTGGAGCCCTTGCTCCTTAGTTGAAAGTCACTGAAGCAGATGTTCGAGTGCGACGGAGTTGGTCGTCGTCGTCGCCTCGGTTGACGCAACCGGATTGGGTCGGGCTTCAGCGGTCAGATTTGTCTGACCTCCAGATCCTCTTGCCATCCTTATGCGTGAGCGTGGTCCGGACGCCACCTTAGCTCGCCGAGATGTTCGGGGGTGGCAATGTGAAGGATTCCTGAGTCGCTTTCATGGAATCTTGCCTAGGGTCAGCTCAGGAAGGTTCGCACAGAGTGAATTGCAGCAGAAGTATTGACCTCAGATCAGAGTGAATATTACATGACTGAAGTGATAATAACAGAGGCATACGGTACATGTGTTTGTATAGTAATGCAAAGGGGAAAACAAAACGTCCTAGCTAGCCATGTATT